CCCCCTCTCCCTTCCTCCCTGTTCTCGTTAAGCTATTTTTTAACGAAGAAACCGAAGGGAATTTTTAGTACTAACTAAAAGTATGTAACGTTTCAACAGACTGCCATAGTTAATGTTATTAATGAGTACATGTATTAAGTATCATTTATTAGAGAGCGAGTAATGCGACGAATTTACGGTATACAGGGTGATTCTACAAAATGGAACCATCGATGTTTATCTTTTTTATATTTTTGTAAAAGAAAGATAAAGAAACAAAATACAGGAAAATGTCATAACATCTCATAAGATTTTAATTATCGAGAAAGTTTCGTTATCTCAAATTCGATTAAATTTTTATCTTAATTTTTTAAGTAGAATCGCAGGATATATTCTCTTCATCCTATACGTAGAAATATTTGAATGTTACATATTTCAGATTTTTAATACTTAATAGTTTTAATACCTGCATTGATCGAATATTCAACGTTTCTCCTCCTATGTTGAAACAAAAGGCAGTGATTCTATTTAAATAAGAAAAATAAAAATTTCACCGCGTAGCTATAAGAACAAAGTAATTTGTAATAAAACATGAATTGGTCGAATCATGGAAAATTTGTCTCTTTCCATTTTAATTATTTTCACGCAATAAAAGAAGTTAAGTTAAAGCTTCTGCTTGTTCCTGTAATCACCCTGTATAATGAAGCATAGAAGTTGAATCAATCGATCCACCGCCTTCCACGATGTCTAATCCGCGTCATTCGATGTATTTGGATGAATTTCGAGAATTTCGCGGAAGACTGCATTGTAGAACGGAAAAACGGAACATATTTTGTCTTTATATATTTACTTTTGTACAGCCGCATGATCAAAATTTTTGTTACAGTAGTGCGAATCGTAATGAATAAAAGAAAAAAAAAAGAAAATTACATTGTTGTAATCCGTTTGAATAGCTTTTTGTAAAAAAAAAAAGAAAAGAAAAGAAAGAACACGCAAAGCAAAAAAGGAAAATGAATAATTGTACGATTTGAATATGCGTCAGCGAATATTTTATAATGTACGAGATTTATTCATCTTCCACAATTATTTTCCTTTCATTGAAAATGTTCATAATGGATGCTAGATAATGACTGTTTAAGAATCTTGAATATAAAGCACGTTACATAATCGAATGTATGGTTTCTTTTGTATGTATATTGATCATAATCGAACGATAGTTTACAAACTAACATATGACAATGTTTTCCCCCGTATATATTATTATACACGTTCTTGCTACTTCTTTTTTTCATTTACCCTCGATTTACACCATATGTATTCTTTTCGTATAATCATACTAGTTTCTAAACTTCATTGAAACGATCTTTCATCCCCTTTCTTGTTACGACAATAACGAATCGTTATCAGTCACCTAGATTGAGTATCTTTTTTTATATTTCGAAATATATTAATTTCGTCGCAATAGTATAAGTTCGACGCGGTAATCGAATATGCGATCTCGGAATCCATGGTTGATTTAACTTTCCCTTCTTTGCCTATCCACGAAAATAGAATAAGTAATTGTTCTAAGCGCTAGCACGGCGAAACAATATTGTACAGTTTCGTTTAATAATAATTTATTAGTACGTATTTCGTTTAATATCATTAATGTGTAGCTTATTGTAGAAATGATTAGTACCAGTGTACGGCAATTATTTAAATATATTAGATTCACCAATAAGAATGTTCTACATTCATTTGAAGGTCCTCTTTATCATATAAAGGAGTTAAAAATTTAGATGAAATAAAAATTGTCTTTTTACACATTAACATTATGAAAATATCATATCAGAGTGTACTCAATTGTGATAATATGATTTAATAGTCTAAAATAGATTTACTATTTCAAACTGAAGTAGTCTGAATAATTTATCAGATGGAAAGAAATCGGCCCCTATATTCTTTACATCCCATAAATATCATAGAATATCATTGTTTCACTTATGATGAGAATAAATTTTTGGTCATAGTGAAATGACTATTATTTGATGCTTATATATATATCACTAATTATGATTTATATGGAAAAGGGAGTTATATTTCTACAGAAGGTTCAATAGTGAGCTACGATGGAATAGCTCTTAATAAGACTCACTATACTTGATTGGTATGTATAAAATCTACTGTATAATGATCCTTCCAAATTTTACATCATTAATGTTCATGTCTTAATAAAAATAATTAGAGTACTATATCTTACGTTAATTAAACAATTGGAGTTTAGTAATTTCTACCTTACAGTAATTTCTATGTTACATTATCATGATTTTCAAATGATTATGGAAAATTGATAACAACATTAAAGATTGAAATTATACACTATATATTTATATAGAGATTTTATTATTATTAGTTACTAATCTATTTTTATTAGTTACTAATTCAAATCATAATCTCTAATCTCAAAACTCAAAGTTCATATGTTCAGTAACACACTTCTTATACTTCATATTTCATATTAGCTATAAAATTATTTTTCTTCAAGAATTCTTTAAAGATGTACTTAATAGAAACACTGGCCAAAACACTTATCATGATCAAAAAATGCATCTATTACACATATGGTATCGAATCAATTTCCAGTAGCACTGAAAAAATAAATTTTAAAACACTTATATTACAATTCTTATCGTTACTTACCTCATTCACTGTAAAGATTAAACTTCATTGACTTAAACTTAATCCATTCTTACATATCTATCAATGATAAAGATATAACAAATTACTTGTTCATGAAATAATAAATATAAACATTTAAGAATTACATGAGTATGTTATTATTATAAATTATTGTTATATGTATTTTTCACAAATTAAAATATCTTACAATAAAAGTACTTTTAGTAGTACTTACACTAAAATACTTTTTTATAATAATTTATAAATATTTTTCTACTTTTACAACCATTTTATGATAATACAAAGTATATTTTATATGTATATGTATATGAATATGTATATATACCTTTTATAGCAACATACATTCTACACAATAAATTAGTTAGACCAAAATATCGTTATTTATATATTAATTGACATTTTATGCCATAAAAACTATTCATATAATATAACTATTCATAGAAGAAGCACTTTGATAATTATTATTATTGTTATTATTAAAGGAAAACATCCTAGATTGATCTTATTTATTAACTTGTATATTTATATTTTAATACTGATATCAAGTTCTTCACATTGCGATAATTATATGTGTAGTAAGTGCTTTTATTTTGAATATTTAATTATTAACATTTTTAACTTCACATTTATACATATTAAAAAGATATATTAATAGACATATTAATATATCTTTTAGAAAGACATATTAATATTATACATATTAAAAAAGCACACCAGAAGGTTGAACTCTATTTGTTAAAATTATATGTTGACAATAAAATGGTACCATAATTTACTATGATGGTACAACACAAATACATATGAATAAAATGTAATATTACATTTCAAACAATGTAATATTTTTAAGGTTACTAAAAATATAATCTTGTAACAATTAAATCTATAATTCTTTTACAATTTGAAAGCCAATAAAATGAATGTATAAAAAGATTATGAAATTTATAAATATATTTTCTAACAAAATTAAAATTTTATATAAAAGATGAAATTATTATTACCAATGAAATGGAAATGAAAAAAAAGATACTTAAGGTTTTTTTTAATAAATATAAAAGAAAAACTTAATATCATATCTTTGTACTAATACTGCTAAAATTAATGAAATAAGATAAAAGAACAAATGATTTCAAACAAATTTTTAGATAAAACTGAATATACAACATTGATTACTTTATTCTATGAGTAATATGATATTCATGAAATGTTGTGTCTTTGTTTGGTTTATCCTAAAAGCAATATATGAAATGAAAATAAATGACATCAAAATATGATTCCTTTTTTTCTTCTAATGGTCAATTACACTGAATGTACCTTAAGTGAAACACTGCATAGGTGTCATCACTAATGCAAGATCAATGTGGCAACACTTTTGCTTGGTGTTTTATTACACAATATCCTTTTAATATATTTTCTTATTTAAACTATTTCTGCAACTAATCTGTATTGTCATGTAGTAACAAAAATTTGGGAAGATATTGACATATACAACATTTTCTGGTTAACATATAACATAAATACTACTACTAATAGTCAATTGTATCAATCTAATTAAATGACTTCTGAGCAAGAAGCTACATTCAAATCGGATTGTCTACTTTCCTTCTGACTTTCTTCGGATATGGATTCTCTACTTTCCTTCTGACTTTCTTCGGATATGGATTTTCTACTTTCCTTCTGACTTTCTTCAAATATGGATTTTCTACTTTCCTTCTGACTTTCTTCAAATACGGATCTTGGAATTTTTATGTGCCACTTTGGGCAAACAATACTTTTATTGATTTCTTGTAAACAATCTTGCGTTATTTCTTTGTATTCTATTTGCGGTTGACCTAACCTCTTTTGATCAATATACTTGTTAATTTGCTCTTCTGTTAATTTTTGCAAGATAATTTTACATTCTCGAGTGTTCAGGGCCACAGGTTTTACAATTTCAACTAGATTTGTAAACGCATTTTGTCCATTGATATCGTGAACGAAATGTATCTCACTGCTGCATGAGTTTTCATTTTTTTTAATGCTAATTTTAATCTTGCTACTAAGCGGTATATCATTTTGCTTAAGCTGAGATGACAGCGTATTTACGCTCAAAGGGTTGCTTGCTTCCTCTGATTCCTTCTCTTGCGCTTTCTCCAATGTAGAGGATTCTGCTTCTAGCTGAGAGTGTAGTTCAAAATATTTTTCTTTTATTTCTTTTAATTTCTTAAGATCCTCTTTAATCTGTATCTTTATGTGCCTCACTCTCTTCTTCAACATCTTTTCATATTTCCGCTCATAAAATCTTAGTTCCTTTCTAACCTTTTGGAACTGTGTTGACAATTGCTTCTCTTCCATCACCAGTTGTTGGATCCTTTGATCCGTCGTTAATTCGGGTTCCGATGGGTTATCCTCTTTCGCAGTATTATACTGATCTACTTGGTTCCTTAGCATATTAAGAATCGTTTCAATTTTATCATCTTTCTTATTACTTTCTACACTGCTAACTACATTCATTTTCGAATAAACGATCATACACACTCTTAGTTACTAGTTTGCTAACTACCTCGCTTAAACTAACCCAAATCACAGTATGACTCAAACCTTACAGCAATACTTCCTGACGCTGCTGCTAGAGGGCTACGAATAAGATTCAACTCCCGTAAGTATCGTAAGTATCGTACATAATATCTAATAATATGTACGATAATGTATATACTACGTATTATGTAAATAAATTGATATGTATCATTACTCCTTCAAATAGTAAATTCTATAGTCAGTCATTGCCGAATTAAAACTTTAAGGTGTTTGAAATAATCTACCTACCTTAAGTAATTATGTTATATCCAATTTTTAACCTCTTTGTTTCGAAATTGGTTTCGAAACTTTCAAAAGCGTCTTTATTCGTAATTTAAGTTCTAGTCAAAGTATAACGAAATTGTAAACTTTTCATAAAAAATTGATTAAAAAGGGAAGAGTAAAAAAAATAGTAGTAAAGAGTTTTACAAGATCTTTTTACTGAACCGTTTAAAAAAAATGTAAAAAGCTTATTTGTTTTGATTGTTTTTGAATATTTTTAGTCGTTTTAGTCACCCAAATTTTGTATTATCTAATACAATGCCAGTCACGTGTAGAGTCCATCACCATTTTAGACGTCAATATCTCTGCTTTCTCCACTTCTTTGCTATTTGTACTGAGCCGGAGCAACCCAAACTGTTTTATGTTATTTACTTTTTTTATTATTATTAATATGTTTATTTACTGTTGAATGTGTATGCGTTATTAAATAAGGATACAACGGGCCTCTATGTAACGTTTTCTTTCTATTCCTGTACGGATTACTATCATTATATATATCTTTATGGCTATAAAACGCGCGTTAGATCAGTACGAACAAATGAATTGCACTTAATGATCTCTATTTTTACTACAAAATAAAAGAGATTCACATAAAAAAGACAAATGAAGCCCCTTTTTGTTGCTTCTAGATATGTTGGATGCATTTAATTTATATTTGCCACAAAATCATGTATACAAACATATCAACAGCATGTGTAAATTTGCTGAATGTATTAATATATTTCAAGAAGAAATTTAAAGTATGTGAAATAAACGCTTACATTTTGAATAAAAATATTCATTTCCTATATTTTATACCGGAAACGGTAATCTTATTTGAAAACTCTGGTAATTCTGGTAACAAAGATATGCAATCTAATTTGAAGTATCAAATTATCATTAGATTTTTATATAAACCACTCTATTTCTATTTAACTCGTATTTTTATCGCTTGTATGATAAACGACGTGATTAAGTGTTTTGATCTTATTAGACTATCTTACGCGGAAAAGATTGAGAAATGTTTACAATACCCAGATAAGGAAGCTCTTCAGGAAATTTCACAAGGAGATAATTATTTATGACCATTATAACAAGCAACGCAATAACATTAACCGTGCTTATTTTTGTTAGAGTTGTTATCGACATGTAGAGTATGAGAATTCTGTAAACAACTTGCAAATCATGTGAATTTCTTCGACATCTTCCACTGAATGTTTAATCATCACAAAGTATATGTATTTACCGTAGAAAATTGTCAAACAGAATTTTCATCAATGAAAAATCAATTTTTCTATATTCCAAAATAAATCTCTCCACCAGAGAAAAACATATTTATTATTCAGACTATTTTCTTTATTTATTAAAAATAATCTTTTTGCTCGAGTATTTAAAGCGAGTGACTTGAATCTAGAGAAACAAAAGAGGTTATTGCATAAACAATTTACATCGATAATTGGACACCTATATTTCCATATTTTAGAATATTTAACACGAATTGATTTCTTTTTAAGTAAAAGTTACCACAAACTGAATTTCAACACGGATAGAAGAATACATGCAGGTGATAAATAGGATAATAATAGAATAGCTACTTTATCGAAAATTGAATCATGTGCAACATATATATACGTTCAATTATAGACTGATAGATACATGATCAGATATACCTGAACGTGTTATCATTCATTCATATCATTCATTTACCCAGATAATTCACGTTTAGCGAATAACCGATTTGCTACAAAAGGGCAAGTGTGCTCATTCATCATTATCAGTACGCCAAGACGTGATATACCAAGTGGATCGATACTTTTCCTTTTTATTCAGAAACATGAAGACGTTCGTTTTTCTTTGCCTATTGTTTGTGACTGTCTGTTCTGCACAGGTAAGAGTCTGTTTAATAAAATATGGATATTTATAGATCTATAGGAATTTGAAATACGCAAAAATGTATAGGACACACATAACCAAAGTAAAGGACCTCAACTCACAATTCGCTGTTTAGACTCCATCTTTTCTTAATTGTTCTCAGAATACATAAGTATCCCACAGTCTGATATGATTAATTTAGCGAAATTTAGTAGTCAATTGTCCGGCATCTGGATCAATTTGTTAAACTTTAAAAGAGACTTACAATGTTTTACTTCGATTGTAAACATTACTCTTTGCATAGGTTTTATACAAACCGTTCATAAATATCTGAATGCTTTGCTCGATTCATTGTAATATTTGGGATGACCAATTTTAAATGATGAAAAATGTGTACAAATTAATGACCAGAAGCGCCAGTAACTATTTATGAAATCAATAGACTACAAATTTAAATTATCGAATGAATAGCTGTATCGCAATTAATCGCGCTACGGTCCTAATTGCATTACTCTCGTCTTCGTTTCAACAATCAAGAAAATTTTTATGTTATGAGAAGTAGATTAGCATAAAGTTAAAATAATAAATAAATATAATAATGAAGTTCTGTGACGGAGATATTGACGAGGAAAACTAGTGATAGGTGCTGGCTGCCCCTTACCAAAGGTCGCTTGCGGGAGAAATTGGCCTTCGAGTGTTTGCATGGAAAAATCCGCTGTTACGTCGCGTGAGACAATTCGCACGCTATCCCTCGTTGTCTGGCCGCCAAAGACCCACACACCGTTATTCAGACCCTCAATGAACCTAAGGAGCCACCATAAACATAATCTTTTTAACGTCATCTTTATAACTTAATCTTATTAACTTGCAGGAATCTCTAATCCTGCAAATATTTTCGGGTTATGGATGGTCCTTAGAACAGTCCTTAGGTTTATTGTGCGTTCTTACAAATTATGGAAAAAGCAGGTTTTCGCGTGAACAATGTCACACACGAGCCACGTTGGTAGAAGGCTTCATCCACCTATTCTCATTCATTAACGTTGGTCATAACCAATGGGCATCGCGGATCGTTAGCCTCACTTTCCTAACGAAAAGTGTGATAAACAAATCCGCTTTTTTCGTACCTAAAATACACTTACACCGAACTTTTCTCCGTAATGACACGAGAGCGAAGTAACAGTAACAAACAGTGAAACGACAAAAGTCAAATCTCAGCAGTCAGAGTCAAATCTCGACAACAGTCAAAGTCAAAACGCAGTCGCCAACACGAAAAGAGTCTCAGGCCGTACTCACTCGTAGTTTGGAAATCAACATACACACAATTGCATCCAATATTGAAGTTATTTAATTGTTGAAAATATATATATACCTGTTAAAATTAGCGTTATACTCACTCAACCACCCTTATTATCTTAATCGAAATAAGGAATCGATCTATTCGTGGCGTCGATTATTGGAATCGAAATGGGAATTTACGACTCCCGTTGACGCGGTTTTTCGAGATCGCGTCTCTCCGCGAACGGTCGAAACACCCGCTTAGCCTGTGTTTTACCGTAATGAGCGGTAAAATTACCAAGGAATCTCGATTTAAAGAATGCATTGTATAAATTAAGGGCCTTGACAGTAAGAAAAAAATCTAAATCTGAGGATGGGGATTGACGGTTCCTTGATATTATTGCGGGGTCCAGCAAATATGTATGCATAGTAGTTGCCTATCTTGGCCGAAGAATGGATTAGAAACAAACGTTATAAATATTGAAATATATTATTAATTCGTTGAATACACAACACAAACTTCAATAACTCAATTTAATTATCTAATTTAATAATCTATTTAAATAATACTCGTTAACTTAATAAATTCTTTGTTAGAAATTGATCTAGAATGAGGCCGGCAATTGACAAATTAATCGACAAATTTTTGACACATTTACTTATCGGTTATAATGTCTGCACGTTTGATTAAATGTTTTGATTTTAGAGATTCCCCAACGACATATTAGATCAGGCAATGAATGCTATAAAAAATGCTAAAAGCTCGGTTGACAGTGTCATGTTAGATTTGAAACACTCTCAGAGCAACATTGACTTAAACGGAAAAAATGAAATTAGCAACCTTTATATTCAAGCTGGTCAGAACATCAACTCAATTCTAAAAACTCGTCTTGATTATATCAAGGTAAGTCACAGTCTCGCGAAATAACATTTGCTTCACAATGATTTAAGACGAGTAATTAAATGATTAACATCATAAATGCCGGTCATTAGGAAAAGTCACAAGAAGCAAAGGAGTCAGGTAAGAATGCTGAAGATTGTTTTAATGCCGTCACAAAGAATTTGAAGGACGCCGGTCAAACAGGGTATAATCAACTCGATAACTGCAAAAACATAGCAAAGAAAAATTTGGACACAGAACTGCAAGCATTTGACAACGAGCAAGCAGTATGTATCATATTTTTATATTAATTGTTAAATTTGACCAGGTCAAGTAGCTAATACTTACGCTTATGCTTTAAATATTTTATTAATTATATTATATATAATTAATATATTATATACACTTATATTGAGTATATACATTTTAACTTTCAGAATGGACAGAGATTAAAAAATCAATTAGATCAGGTTGCCTTGGGATGCATGGGTTCTTCTAATTCTATACAAGTCGCAAGTTGTATACTTATGAAAGTAGGAGCCATCAATCAGGAGATTCGTCAATACCAACAAAGAGCTTCACAACTGAACACGAATACAGAAAGGAATAAAAATGCAATTACTTTGCAACAAAGATCTTGCAATAGTGATGCCATCTCCATAGTTCAAAATGCATCTACTAAAGCCATATATGCCGCAGCTGATTGTCTTAAAAACTAAAACGAATAGGTCTTAAACTTTAAATCCATAGAATGTTGAATTGAAAATTAAATTTGTCGATTATAAAATAAAACCCATAAATTAACGCCTACACCTCTATGACATCGTAATAAACTATCCTATCATTTGCTTTGCTCATGCTAGAATACGTCTGAGATATTGTTAACCAATGGCACTGGAGACACCCTATGTATCTCTACTTCTTTATATCAACCCTCTTTTGTATCTCTACTTATCTCACAAATTTATATGATTCGATATGGTTTCAAAGCTAAATGAATCACCTTAATAACTGAATTTTTTTATTAATACGTGCAATTACCCACTACTCACTGTTTGCAATTCTTTTTATGTATGTTATATACGTATATATCGACAAATCTCGTAAGTTTCCGAATTTATAATATTATATAGAGGCTTACATTAAATTTAGTGATAAGAATAAAATTATTTTCCAATTCTCAAAAGAGACATCTCTATTTCATATTATATTTTATCTGTAAATGAATGTAATTTATTCTCTATAAAGTCGTGTGTATATATGTATGTATGTATGTATGTGTATATTTGACATTAATCGTAAAAATTTGTTTAAAACTTAACAAAGGCCGTGTGATATCATACATGACATTAATATAAAATAGTCTATACGCATTTTATAATCTAATCATAGATATCCTTGGTTCAACATTCATATATATTCGTATAATATATACACATACGTGCATCATATGTATACTTTTGTAGACTTCACTTAAATAAATAGTTGGTTCAAAGGAAAGATAAAATTGCATTATATAAAAACGAATACTTTTTTACAATCGTACAAGGGGTAAATATTTAATTTACATCGGTTGAAACATAACATGTTAAAACTTTCGAATAAAACTACACTGTGTTATAGGCTATTCTTTTACTTGAAAACAGCCATTTCTTGCCATTATCTTTCAATTATTAAATTAATGTTATGTTGAATTATATTTTAATCTTATATGCTATTTCGTACAGGGTTTGCTAGATTTACTATCTATCTCAACAGACATTCATCTCCATAATAACAACATAGACATCGAGTCATAATAGGGATAATGATAGTCTTATATTTTGTTTCAGGTCACACGATGATTATCCGTGGCACAGATATATCAGCGAATTAATTCGACCAGCTCATGATTTTGTTGCAATAAATGTATTTCTTCTTTTTTTTTTTTTAGTTCACTTAAAACTAAGAGTAGCAATAGTAGTTTTATAGCAGCAGCAGCAGCAATAATGATAATATTTTTAATAACTATCATTAACATATTTCGATAAAATTATATTAATAATTATAATTGTAATCGTCATGACCATCATCATTTATATACATATATATTACGTGTATATGCATACATGTATGATTACGCACGTTTCAACGTGCAGGACTATTATCATAGAAGTACGCATATATTACACGTACTAAACCTTCTCATAAGAAATCTTATATGTATGTATCAATTCAGCTCACGCAATCTTCTGCTCTAAATTTCTCAGGATGGTGACTTACATCTAAAATTATATTTTTTTTTAAATATGAAAGTGATCGTCGGCACCGCGTCGCATAATTTTTGCACAATTATATCAAATAATAATATCACTTTTATAAATCCTTCTTTTCTTTTTTTTATATAAACGTATTAATTCAACAGAATATAGTTGCTGTACAACAAATGTCTTTTCATTGAAAAAGTTTGATTCTAAAAAAAAATTATTCACACATGACAATAAAATTACCCTTTAACTATTAATGAATTCTTTTGGACAAACTAAATAATCTTGAAAATATAATGCATGCAATAACATTGAATGTAAGAAAAATAAAAGCAAAAATTTATAACTTTTAAAAATAATTCATCAAATATCTACTATACACTGCATGATATGTTTAATATAAAAATGTCTTTTTAAACAATATTTGATAAAATTTATGATTACATCTGAATAGTTTCCATAGAATTAAAACGTTTAAAAATCACTGCAGCGCGGCTCAGGACTCTCACTTTAGGGAGGAATTTAAAGATACACGAAAATACTAATATGCAAGTATTGTGGGCATATTGAGTGTACCAAATAACAAATTATCCAATTATTGAGTTGTTTTTAAAAAGGGAATTTTTCCTCGAAAACGCACTAGCCTTTTGAGATTGAGATGATCGTGCAATACCATCACACATACATTGTGATGTTATTAAACAAATTCACAGTTATTTAAATTTATGCGAACAATGTATGTAATGTTCTTGGAAAACTGCAATATCTTGAGTGACATAACAATTAGCAAGGTTTGCATTGCTAGAAAAATTCAGAGGTAGTTAAATAATCGCAAAGTTTCAATAAAAATCCCACTGCATCAAATTATTTACACTATATGTATCAATGATGTTAAAAAATACATAAATTTCCATTTAATTTGACAGGAAGTTAGATTTGAGAAATGATCGAACGAATATACCCACAAAAAATTTTCTATAGCTCCTCAATAAATGCGATTGTACTTAATGAATTATGAGCAAACTTGTGATGATCTAATTGTTATGCTAAGTGTGTTCCCGACCCGTGAATTTTCCTCCCAACATAAGTTATATCTATGTGATTCAAAAACATTGTAGTGTTACCCCACAATGAAGGACATCGACAATGAGCTGTAAAGATGCAATTAAAAAGGGCAGCTCATACTGTTCGCCATACCTAATAAGAGAGCATTACAATTTTCGGAAATAATGTGTTGAACGTATTGCTGGACGAGCCAAGTATCAACACAAACACACGATATAAAATACAACATAGTCTTTCATGTAACGAAGCCAAATGGATGCTCCTTGGTACAAAATTTGTCTAATTTTATTGTTTAAAATGCATTGCTTATAAATTTCCTTATACATATATACATATATCTTTATTTTTTTCAATACTTCACATAATTCCAATGAAAACAATTTTTCAAAGTTGTAAATATGCTTTAAAAATATTTTGGATGAAATCTAAGTAAAAGAAACCAAGGTGCATGCTTAAGACTTCCAAAACACGTCAAGCTCGATGTAGTATTTCCTAAAATGCGCAGGTACGCGAATGTACGATCTGACCTGTGCATCTATGTGCTTGTCCAAAATTTTCACCACTCCAAGACCTAGCAAGCACAAGAATCACCCTTGCCATTGTTTCTTTGGTCATTGGTCAATTTAATTTGGTCTGGGAATTCATTATATAATTCCACCTAAAATAATAGCGTTATTTGTTATATTTTAATATTTGCTAATTATAAACAGATAAATACAAAAAAAGAGTATGACGTACCTCACTTTCTTGAGCTAAAGCATTCTTCGCTATCGTTTGGAAGGCTTGTTCAACATTGATGGCTTCTTTAGCACTAGTTTCAAAATATGGAATATTGTTTTTAGATTGACACCACTGCTGTGCTTTCTTGCCATGAATCTGAAATGTATTTATTAATAAGGCTACAAATTATTTGAAACTTAAAACGATCAAAATAAATATAGATCTTTAAATAAAAAGAATAACAAGCTAATTATTTAGAAAGCGGACGCGTTTTCGATTTCGATGATTTTTAACTTGTGATAAGGGATTTGAGTCATAAGCGAAAATCACGAGTCAGACTCGTGGTAAAAAATTTGTGCCATAAATGGAACCCGCGAGTCTGACTCGTCGTAATTTACGAATTGTTAATGATTTATTATTCACTTTGAAATAATAAATTGTTTTTGTTAACTGATCAATTGATCATGATTACGCCCTAAACGTCTTAAAAACACTATTTGTCCTCAAACGTTGTTTATTAGTTCACAATTCCTTTTGTAGCCCCTAAATATATGTCATAAGAAGTATACATTTTGCGCCAGTTCGGGCACACGGCTAAACAGATAAATGACACGGCGCGCGACCGAACTTCTTACTATGGCTCGCGCGATCGGCAGATAGCGTGTAGGCCAAGGGGTTAAATATGTTGTAAAAATCAACATCTTTTACAATTATTTCCTATACATATAATCATCAGATTGCCTTAGCTTTTAAGATATTTGCAAAACACTGTGGGTACCATTACAATGAATTCTGCCTATAATTGTGGTAGCATTATGCATCAGTAAATAAAACAAAGCCTGAAACCTGAACCTACTTCTTATTTCTTGTTTATAGTTTACATAAATGGAGGTTGGGCGAGCTTGGGTATTTCATGGATCTTTCGGACGAAAGCCTCGTGCATAACTGCATATGCGAGGCTGTAAGCCATTAATCATTTTGTTCTATCGATATTAAAAACGATTATCATTAATGAGTTAAGTTTAGGTTTGGATTAAGTTTTGGAAAATTTCCAGAAATATTTTGTACAGCATCGGATATACACTTGTGTAAGAATTTTCGTGGAAGCTGTATATTTAGATTCGTAAAATATAATGCAAATGTAAAGAGATCGAAGGCTGACTAAAATTGAAAATGCCTTTGTTCTCTAAATAATCTAAAATGTATTTAAAATGCTCTTACCACTTTGGATTCTAAATCAACTTTATTTCCAAGTACTACAAATGGAAAATTATCTGGATCACGAGGAGAAGCTTGAATCAAGAATTCATCTCTCCAGGAGTCTAAAGATTTAAAGCTACTAGGTGCTGAAACATCAAATACGAGTACACAACAATCAGCACCCCTGTAGAAAGCAACACCTAAAGATTGAAACCTTTCTTGACCAGCTGTATCCCAAATCTATTTAAAAATAAAAGATGAGATAAAAGAAGGTGTAGTATTGTATGAATATTATTTTATTTAACATATATTTACCTGCATAGTAACTATCCTATCGTCTACCATTACTTCTTTGGTAAGAAAATCTGCACCTATAGTAGCTTTATATTGATTGCTAAATTTCTTGCTTACATACTGATTCATAAGAGAAGTTTTACCAACTCCTGAATCTCCAAGGATAATGACCTTAAGCAGTAGTTTCTTATGAGAAGCCATTGTGAACTAAAAACAAAAAAAATCATGTTTACTATGAGTTTTGTTAGTAAATTTAATTAGAAGACATAAATCTTACTAATGATATTTAGAATGCCACTTAAAAATATGATAAATTAAAGCTAAATCATAACATCAGTGTTTTATTTGAGAAATATTCTACGAAGATAATATTAAAATATATTAGTTATGAATCAGAGTCAAAACATTCGTAATCAAACATACATGTGTCATATGTACGAACAACTTAGATAAGAATGAAATACAAATAATGAAATTGGAATTTGAATTAATTATCAGCTAGATGAAAATATACTTAATCCTCTTTTAACATGAATAAGTATGAAGCTTAATTACTTGAAACTGATATGTAAAAAAATCTTACAATACCTTTTACAATTAGAATTATAAACTGAATATTTTGTTAGACAGTTATTTCTTGATCTTAAATAAATATCCTATTAGCATGCAACAGTCTACGAACGTGAAATCGCACTATAAAACGATGCGAACGCAAAACACTGGTCCGAATGTCACGGGTAGATGACTTTTTTTTAGTGAATCATTGAACGTGAATGGGAAAAGTACTCCCCTTGCAATGACGTATGTACATTACTTGAAAAAAATCATTGCTCGGAGACGTTCCAAATACGTTGTTTTTGGCGGTTAATGTCTACAATGTTTGAATTATATTATAATAAAAGTACAAAACACCGCTTCAATATAAAAGTAAATATGATAAAATGAAAATATACGTAATTAGACAGACACAAAATAGAATCCGTTTAACTGCGATGCTTGAAAACCTGTCAACACGCGATTTCGACAATTGAGATTTAGCATCAAAGATTAAACAAGTGCCCTAAAAAATGTACATGACGTTCATTGATAAATGCGAATGACAATCAACAATATACTAAAATATCAATTATAAATTACGTTACCTCGAATTAGTTAGAAAACAGTAAGTGAAATTTCTCTCGGTCAGCTTCACACAAAGAAAATGGCGTGTTATGAAATCACGAGTATGACAACGATGTCGTCACCTGTTCTTCGTCTCTTTTATCGACCGAGTACAATCAAAACTCGATTGTTAAAATCGATTCAATACTCGATACATTTACTTACGTTTGATTAAAAATGCGGCAATATTTGAAAAACGATATGATACTATACAAAGAACAGAAATTTAGGTATGGATAGACTATTTCTTCAAAATCGTAATATACATAATAAGAGAAATTCTATTTATAAAAAAAATAATCTTTAATTCTATGTTTTAGTTATGCAAATAGTAATTTATATTTTATTTAAGTTATACAAGAGCAATTTATTGAAATATATATCTTTTTTTTGATGTTGCGCTTTCAGTAGGAGGATCAGCATCATCATCCGAAATACGTATTCTTTTCTTATGTGTTTGCTCGTTAGGCGCTTTTCTTTGCGAAGTTGTTTCATGTAATTTATCTTGTAAGATGAAACGTTCTTCTCTTTCTTCATTAGACGACTCCTCTTCATCAGATTCTTGTTTTATAGGATCTGACGCAATACAATCTTGACTGTTCACTAGACAATGTCTAATTGCTGTGTAACCGCTAAAAATATATAAATTACAATTGAACAAGCAAAATATAGTATGTGTACATATACGTATTTGTTATAGACATACGTTTGCTTACGGTAAAGTTGATAAAATCCTTTATTACTGTTTAATTCAGCTAATTTGAATAAAAATTTCTCATCATGACTAATTACAATTAACTGAAAATTTTTCTGATGTTGTGATCGCAATTTGACAACCCTTTAACATGAAAATAATACATTAAAGTTTCGAATTATACATTAAATTATACATTATATTATTGTATATATTATATAATATAATATATAATATATAATATGTAATATAATATAATATAATATAATATAATATAATATAATATAATATAATATAATATATGATATAATATATTATATTATATTATATATAATATTATAAATAATATATATTATATAATTATAAATTATATATTATAATTATACATTAAAAATAATTTTAATAAGTATTCATTACAACATACGTAGCCAACGCTTCTGCTAGACTATCAGCATTTTCTTGATCCAAATTTGTTGTTGGTTCATCCAATGCAAGAATCCCGCAATCTTTACAAAATGTTTCTGCTAAAGCGAGTCTTATAATTATCGACGCTAGAACCTGTTAATTAAATGTGGGATCGTACACAAATAATAAAATACATTATTTTACTATTTTCATTACTGTAAATTAAAAATTACTTTTTGACCAGCACTACAACGACCTTTCATATCTATTTCATGACCATGTTTCATTTGAACTAATTTGTAATTATATGTTCTTCTTGTGCTACCTATCCCTTCGGTTGCGTCTGTATGAATTTCTATTGATGTTGTATCTTTTCCAGTATATACAAGTTTCCACATCTGTTTAATGATTCTATTAACTGTGGCCATACGCTCTTCATGATATTGTATCATAGCCACATCCAATGCTTTGCTATATGCTTTTAAGTTTAATATAGCTTCTTCTATAACCTAGAACAAAGAAAAATTATTTAAGATTTACGTTATTAATATCGAATAAAATATAAGAACTGAAAGTTCTGTATTGTATATTACCGTTAATTCGATGCATTTGCTTTTATAATTTTTACGAGCTTGTCTATATATATCCTTTTTTAGTTCTTGCGTATATTGCTGCAGTGTTCTTTCCAATTCTTCTTGATTTCCCTTAATTATATTTTGCTAAAAATAATTTAGAAAAATATATAAATTTATAAAAATATATTGCAAATAAATGATTTTTCAGAGCATTCGTAAACAATTAAAGTATGACAAAGGTAAATACATAAATTATACGAAGTATGAAGAAATAGTATATATGTGATCATGTAAAATTTCAATTATAAAATGCTTTACCTGACGGAGTATAGTTTGTTCTCTACTTTGTACATTCTTCCAGTCGTTAAGTACTTGAGAATGATTTATAGCATTTAATTTCTCCTTTATTCTTAAATATTGTTGTTGTAAATTTTTGATTGTTTCCTGAACTTGCAGCAGTGCAAGATTATCTGACAACTCCCTTTTTCGAACTTCTTGACGAGTAACATTTTCCTTTAATTTATTAATCGTTGTTTCTATATCACTTTTTTCACAAAGCAGTTCATTAAGCAACTTTTCATAATCTTTTATTTTCTTTTCAGAGCTTTCTAAAGATTCGGGAACATTACTGTATATGGAAATATCAACCTCATCCTGTATTCTTTGTAATTCAGATAAACGTCTAACTGCATCTGTTACCAATTTTCTATCACATTCCAGTTTCGCCGAATTATCTTTCTAAAATAGAAATATATTGCACATTTTTTATATTATAAATTTAATGAAAGTGCACTAATATTCTTATACAAAAAGTAATTTAAAAATATACCCTCTTTTCTTCTAATTTCTCAAGCTCTGAATTTAATTCGGTTTCTGCTATAGCTACTTGTTTCTTCAACATATTAATTGATTTCCAAAGAGAAATTTCTTTTGAGTACAAGGTTTCCAGTTTTTCCTTCAATTCTTTTACTTTTTGTATATCTGATTGGATTCTTAATTGCTCCTCCTGTAATGTATTTTGTTCTTGTCGAGCATTATTTAATTTTTCATTATGCATATTTATTTTAGATTGTAATTCTTCAATATTATCGCGAATATTTTTTAAAGACATTTTCAACTCTTCTCTTTGACTTTGAGCTTCCTCAAGGCTACGTTTGGTCTTAATGCCTATAGAAATAAATAAATAAATTTCTTTATAAATGTGGTAAAAAATTAATTTTTTCTAATATACCTGCAGCAGTCATACGAATCTGTAAGTTATCAATTGTTTGTTTCAGTTTGAAAATGTCATCAATGTATGTATCCCATAACATAATATCACCTACGATATCTTTGCATATTGCTAATTTTTTTTTAGGACAAGATTTTTTCGTTTCTAATCCCATTACAGTTGTTCGAGATATACTCAACTTATTTTTTGATTTTTCTAAACTATTCCTAAAATATTGTTGGTATGTAGTGTTATAAATTTTATAACAAAATAGTAAGATAAATACATAAACAATAAAAAATTTACATTAATTTTTCTAAGTCACTCTCTTCTAATTGTATTATTTTTTCAACGACCGGTTTTAATTGCAACATTTTATCATATTTTTCCTGTTGTGTTTTCAATTCTCTTTCACATTCCTTCAAGCGATTTGGATGATTTTCCATTTCACTTTCCATTTCTTTTAATAAAGTTACAACATTTTCACGTTCATCAAAATCTCTATGGCATAGAGGACAAGAAGGATTTGTTTCTCTTAATTGTTTCATATACTCTTTATAAGCTACACTTTGATGAGCATACATTCCCCTTTTGTCTTGAAGATCTTTTACTTTTTTCGATTGTAATAATAAAGTCTCATCAAAACTTTTGTAGTGACAAACTGATGAAACTTTTTCTTTATCCGCTAAAATAGAAAGATGTATTGTCAATGATAAGTTTAAAGATTGGTATATAAATATAATTTTTAGTTATTTAATTTTAAGCTCACAATTTATTTCTCTTTTTTTATTTTGAAGCTCATGTTCAATATGTGATATTGTTGTTTCTAATGTAGTTATTCGACGTTCTTCTGCCTGAATTTCTTGGTTAATAGATTCCATTTCATTCGCCTAGAATTAATAGAATTATGTAACTAAATTCACAAACTTTCTGATTGTAAATTTAATGACTATCTTTAAATACCAATTGTTTTTGAACCACATCTAGATTAGTTTTTAATTTAGTTTGGGATAGTTCTTTAATATCAAACAAAGTCATTATTTCTTTTTCACGTTTGTTCTTTAATTCTTCTATTTCTTTTTCTTTAGCATGCAATGTAGATTTATGTAAATCTAATTCAGCTTGCTGCATACTCTGTTTCGATAATAAAGTTATTTCTTCATCAACCGTATTTAAAAGTGTTTCCATTTCATTCCGAATCTTAATTTTGTTAGCAACTTCTTTTTTTACAACATTCACATCCATTGCTTCATTTAATTCCTGAACTTTTTTCTGTACTTCTTGTATTCTTAACTCAATGGAACTTAGTTTACTTGCTGCTGCGCCAAGCTAGAAATAAAAAATCTTAAGCAAATTTAAAATAAAAATGACAATATTTTGAAGAAAAAAATATACAACCTGCACAATATCCAATTTTATTTTATTAATTTCTTCTTTTGTTTGTGTTACTTCACTTTCTTTAAGATTTTTTTCTGATTCTACTTTTGAATGTTTGCTACGTAAAGAATCGATTGCTCTGTGTAATGCATTTTCTTCTTCTTCTCTTTTCAATCTTTTCTGTTCTACGCAATGCCGTAGTTCTTCCATCTTTTCAGTTAGCCGGCTAGTAAGGGCCATTATTTCTAAAAAATTTTTAATTTTACATGATCATATATGTCAGTTCAAATATAAAATTGTTTTTTAATATCTTTTTAGATTCAAACCTAATTCTGATACATTTGCATCAATGTTATCAAGATTCCAAGAAGATAATATTTCATTTAATATTGCATTGCGAAGATTAACCTTCCTTTCTTGATCTTTAATTTGTTGTCTTAAAGAACCATTGGACACTCTTTCATTAGATAAATCACTTGATATGCTAGACTCTTTTCCAGCAATATTTTTTAATCTTTTTTCAAGCTAAATATTTTACAAAGAAAAATTCAATCAACATTCACCACATCTTTTTTGTTTAATAATAGATATTAATAATACCTCTTCTATTTTGTCAGTTTGTCTTATTAATTCTTCATCATGCGATTCTATCTGCTTTAATAATTCTTCTTTAGTCCCTTCAAACACATATTGTAAATCTTCTTCTAATCTATTCAGTTGTTGTTTGAACATGTCATATTCTGCTTTTTTTCTTTCTAAAAGAAACCATATATATAAAAACAAAAATTATAAATTATAACTATAATTATATTTGTATATAAAAAAATTAATTATGAAATAAATTGTTATTAATATTTATCAAAACATTACTTTCTTCATTTTGCAGATTTTTGTAATCAGCATCTAATTTTTCAAATATTTTAATTTTCTGCTGCACAGGTTCTAATTCTTTATCAAATTCCTCAATTTTGGCTTTGGAATCTTCCAATCGTTTTTTATTATCTTCAAACTTTGCTTCTTTATCTACTACTTCATTAACAATAAGTTGGCAATTTTGTTTTTGCTCTTTCAATATATGCATCTTTTGATTCATATCTTTGATATATTTCATAATGTTTTCAAGAGCTTTATTAAATCTAGCACTATCAAAAATCTCATCAAATTTTTCTTTTAATTTTTTACCATCTTGGAAAGGCCAATTGAGGTCTTCTTGGTGACAAAAGATCACATAATCCAAAATGGGTTTTGAAACTCCCATTGCTAATGTAAGTTCTGCATCAACATTAGCACATTTATTAGATATTGATACTGGCTATATAAACAAAAGATCATAAACATCATTAAAAACACCTATAATTTATACATAAATAATATATACTCTATATATAATATAATCTATATAATATATATCTAATGTATATTACTAATTCTATTAATATAATTTATATTTACAAAGAACATACCTTATTTTGACCTTTCATTATTCTGCTTAAAGCATTATCGAGAGTTTTAAATTTCACTGACACATTTCCTTTTGTTGACTCTATCGTTCTACATATTATGTACATATTACCTGCTGCATCAATTATTTCAGCTTTTACAACACCTCGGATCTATGCAAAAAAATAAATTAATTACATAGAGAAAGCGTAAGTATTACATACTTTTTAAAAAGAATTATTTTAAGAGAATATCTGTAAACTTAATAACCTAGGTTTATTTTTAAAACTTTTAACTTATACTAATTAAATATATGAAAATAGTTATGCATAATGTAATATGTAATGGATATTATATTATACCGATGGTGCCGCCGATAGAGTTGGATCATGAATAAAGAATTTTCCTCGATCTGAACCAGGTGGAAATTCACCGCAAGTAGCAAATTTTAGAGCTTCGATAATTGTCGTTTTTCCAGTACCATTTGGACCAAGAATAAGTGTCAAAGGACGAGAAAATCGAATCTTAGCTTCGTCATTCAGATCGCCAAAATTACGAATACCACGAATAGAAAGTCTTCTTATTCGTGACATTGTTCAGAATATACGAATTTAGCTTGTTTATTACGGAATAATGTAATACAGTAAACGGAAACAATAGATCGAACTGCACGTCAATTTACTCTTACCCAGTGAATTGAAAAGATCGTGCGACTTCGAATTCGCGCGTATTAAACTAACATAGCACTCGTAACATAGAGTAAAATATAGTTAAGACGAGAAAGTTCAATCTTAAAGATACAAAGAAAAATGTTACAATTTTGATGCTATAATTTAATTATTAAATTAATTAAATTAAATTATTAAATATTAAATTAGAATATATCATATGTGTATATATTATATTATTTTATCTTATTTGAAATACAGTAACACATTTGGATTAGATAGCATATATATGTTTCCGTGATTAAAAACGTGTCCAATAAATTGTGAAAACATAACCATGTATTTAATTTTCAACCGTGCAGTGTATAACACAGCACCATTTTTATATTCATTAAAAGAAGTAACTAAAACATTTCTTCTAACTTTTAATTCAAAAATATATAATAAACATTATACTTGTTATAGTCAATCGCATGAAAAACAGCAAAGTGGTGCATGGAAAGTATTATTTTTTGGCACAGATGAATTTGCTGTCGAAAGTTTGAAAGTCTTATATAGCAAATAGTAAGAATAATACTGTTACCTTTATATTATAAGCCTTTCATTTATACCTTATATTTATATTTATAAATTTGAAAATTTAATACACATATCTTTGTGTATAGTAGATCTAAGGAAGTGGAACGACTAGAAATTGTTACTGTTAATCAAAAAAGGGAAAATTCTGTCACAAAATATGCAAAAGAAAATAAAATTATTGTAAATAAATGGCCACTTGAAATTAATAAATCAGAGTTTCATATAGGAATAGTTGTTTCATTTGGTCAATTAATACCATCCAAGATCATAAATGCATTTCCACTGTAAGTTATCTTCTTGGAATTTTCAATTTATTTATGTATCAATGTTTCACGTATTGACATATATTTATTGTTCTTTTATAGAGGCATGTTAAATGTACATAGTAGTTTATTACCAAGATGGAGAGGAGCAGCTCCAATAATTTACACGTTAATAAATGGAGATTCAAAAGCTGGTGTCACAATAATGAAAATAATGCCAAAAAGGTAAAATTCACTGTTATTTATTTTTAAACATTTAGAAAGTTGTATTGTACAAGTATAAAAAAGAGAATATTCTAACATATTTAATATTATTTGAATTAAATATTATTTTAGATTTGATATAGGAGAAATAATATTGCAGAAGGCAATAGATATTGATGAACATGAAACTCTGCCAGAATTATATACAAAATTAGCAAAACTTGGTGCAAATCTTTTAGAAGAAACATTTGAAAATTTATTAGAATTATTAAAATGTGCAAGACCTCAAGATGAAGAAAACGTAACATATGGTAAATATACAAAATGAGTCATAAAGTATTACAAGCTGTTTTCTTAAAAATTATTGCAAGTTCTGGCTTATTTTTCTTTTTAATTAAAATGGAACAGAGGACTAATTATTTTAGGCACAACAGCTTTTGCAAAAGGAGAATTCTCAGCTCTCATTTTTTTCAAATAGGATGACATTAATATTTTATCATATATAGCTAGCTATTGTTGGATTTAATAATATTTGATTGAAATATTCTTTTTTATTTATTTTTTCATTACTTTTTACACAGTTGAAAAGTTACAAATGTTACCAGCCACAAAGAATTTAAATTTAGCAAATGTAAGCATATTCTACATTGAGAGCCATTTTATTAAATGTTACACACAAAGGAAAGCAAATATAGCTGTAATGTTAGTACCAAAGAAAATAGTTTTTAACAGCTTCACATAAATCATCTTGTATATTTTATCATGGATAAATTATCGGATTATAATGATGCATGCATTATAAAGTATAGATCAATATAATTTTCAGCACCAAAAATAACATCAAAAATATCTTTAGTTAATTGGAATAAAATGTCGGCAACAAATGTTTATAACTTACATCGTGCGCTCGTGGGTTTATACCCTTTAACTACTTCATTTCAAAACGCAAAAATAAAGTTACTTGACGTTCAAAAAATTGAATCAGAATCAATAGCAACAAACCTTGAAGGAGCAGAACCAGGTAAATTTGTAATTTTATGTATACTTTTTGATATTAGAATATTAAATAAAGTATTTAAAATATTAGATTATTAGTGAATATGTATATTTATCAATATTTTTTGTTTATAGGAACCGTGATATATAGTAAAAAGAATAATGCATTGATTATAAAATGTAAAGAAAACACTTATGTTTCTGCAAAGCAAGTAACTGTACAAGGTAAACGTACTATGAATGCTCTTAATTTTTGTAATGGTTATATATCTGGAAGAAATAGGACGAAAATATTATTTACTTCAATGTAACTTTCAAAATTAATGTTAATTTATTTTTAATGTAAATGTAATGTAATTTGTTTGTAATGTAAAAAAATATTATACATATATATCATTGAAAATCAAATTTGTCTTAATATGTTTTGTAGAACTTATATTAATAATTAATAAATCTTATCATAAGTATCAAAAGAGGTTCTAAAATTGTATGATTTTTTAACTGTTTCTTACCTTCGAAAATATATGTATATGTAGGATTCTTGATGAATATTAAGTACACACACACATACGTATATATGTACATATGTAGAAACAAAAATATATATACACATATATGCATATTTAGAAATAAAAATTTTAAATTAGGCAGAATAACCCATTGAAAATAAATACTAAAAACTTCACTAAATATATGCAGAAATTTTAATGTATATTTAACAGTGAAATTTGCAGTATGTATTTTCAAGAGATTTTTATGATTAGAGGAAAATTTTATCTATATTCTGTATTTTTACAAAAAACAATATTCAATGTCTTAATTTGTTTGAACGTAGAATTATAGCTGCAGACATAAAATTGTTGATATTAAGTCTCAGATTCAGAGGCCTGAAATGAAAGAAATATTTTTACTATTACAGATTCTTTCTTTTATTGAATTAAATTAGCTTCAAGATATATTCCTAGTGACAATTTTAGATCAAAGATAAAAGTATCCATAAATAAGTTTTAGCCTAATTTGTTGCTTTGGCTGCTTCGAAATTATACGAAGTGTAGGTGTATTATCCATCTTTTATGAAGAATTGTTCCCATTTTCTTACAAAAGTGAGATTTTAAGTTTTTTTTTCGTATTAATAACTAATTGCCATTCGATATTTCGTAAATGGAACGTTGTATTTGATTATTCAATAAATAAAGATGGCACAGCTTTTACTGAAAATAATTAGTTAATGTTAGCAACTAGTTATTAATAAGACTGTTTGTTCTATTTATTTTAAAATTATTGAGAGAATTCATAATTCACATAAATTTTATATTAAAGTACTTCATATTTTGTCACATACTAGTAGTATCTAGATATTCTATGAATTATGATTCACTATCTATAAATCGATCTTTGGTTTATTTTTTCTTGTGTTGACTAAATAAAAAGTACCTTAACAGTATATTTTGGGTTAATGTTGCAATAAATGTAAACAACAAAACTTGATTAACTTACACTAGGATCGCAGTCCGCACAATGCCACGAATAGCCTCTTCTTTTGGGTGATTTTTTAACTGGTGGATCAAGACAGGTGAAGTGGTAGCATTTTTTACATTCATCACACCTGAGGTACGAAAAATGATGAATTCATATGTCCAGCATATATTTAAGAAATAAATATTTGATGTATTTATGTAAACTAACATGACGAGATTTTGACTGGTACCAGACATATCACAGACATTGCAATGTGTTAAAAGGTCTGTATCTTTTCCTCTTTTTCCATTTCCTGTAGATGTTCTACTATTTGTATTATTAGTAGATACATTTGCTGTTACAGGAACAGTATTTGAAGGTAAAGGTAGAACAGGTGGAGGTGGTGGTAGTTTAGGTAATGGCGGTGGTGATGTAATTTCAGTACTAGTAGATGTGGCAACAAACATTTGTGGACTTGATTCTGATGCTACATCTCCTTCTGGTCTTGGAATTGGTTTTATCTATTTAATAAAATAATTATGAGGTGATATACATACATACATATATATATGCACATACACATATTACAGCACTAAAGTTTATGAATAGCTACAAAATGAATACCTTTATTGTAATTCTTCTATGAATTTCTGGTTGACTTTGTCCTTCAGGATTTTCCACATCAAGACTTTTTCTCTTATGTTTGCGTTTCCTTTGCTTTATACCCGTAATTGGATCAGGCGTATATCTTTTATGTTTCTCCCTAATAAAATTCGAAAAAATGTTATGGTTCATATTTATATGAAGATATACATATTTTACATACCTTCTTCTTTTTTTTGCGCTTCTCTGTGAAACAGATTCTGTACCATCTGCTGAAGCTACCATATATTCAGGCGAACCTTCTCTTGTTATTGTCACATTATTAATAGGTTGTTGATTATATATTGGCTCACTTGATTGAATGGGAGTTGAAGACGGAGGTTGTGGTCCAACTGGTTTTATAGTTACCTATATATTAGACAACAGAATATATAACAGATGTTTGTATATTAATTGGTCAGTACTGCGGGTACCCGAAATTAAAATATGACCTGGTAACGAGATGATATTCAAGACATGAATTCTCATGTAGCCCAATATTTTCGGACTAATTTGAACCGATTCGTATCTCTAATTTTATGAATAACCGTGAACTCTTAACTTCGAGATTCAAAAACGATCATGTCCGACCAAGTCGAATGACTTCTTTCTTTTAATCGACTTAAATCGGCTTGAGAGTGACAGGCTATCCGTTCATTCGTATATCTTGGATATTTATCCGAGCCTGTTCGACTCTTTTGAATCCGTAATCTCAGGTATCTGCAAAACTCGGATAAATTATATATAAAGAATTAGATACTTCTTGAATAAGATCTATTTGGCAACTAAGTGATTGCGGATTTTGTCATTAGGTGGTATTGACAAAATTCGCAATCACTTAATTGCCAACCCAATATAATATATATATATTCTTTATATATATAATATAAGAAACAAATTTTTTCGAAAGAACATTTAACAATATGTATTTACTTTTGGTGTTGTAGGTGTGTCAGGCGCGGTTGCATTCGTTATACTATTAAGATTGTCGGAAGAATTTTTGGATGTACTAGGCGTTGTTGGCGTTGTAGGTAATTGTACTTCTTGTAGTGGTGTTGGTGTTGATGTTAAATTCAAATCATCTTTACAATGCCTTAATTTACGTGGGGCTGAGGTATCAACACGTTCAACTTCTGACCCAGAAGATTCTTTGTCACATTCAGAACATTGCCTACATTGGAAAATATTGTATACATTGTATTTATATAGTAAATAATTAATAAATAGAATACATCATTATTTATATAGACATACTATACATACCATCCCATAAGTTTCGTTTTTTTCGGCATACGTGATAAAGGTGGACTAAGACATGATAAATGGTAATGAAGATGACATGTGTCACACTTTGCAAGTAGATGTTGATTTGTAGATCTCCTGCATATTCCACATTGATGCCTTAATGTCAGTTCGCCCTTATGATTTTGATCTTGTGCTTGACTGCTTAACACTCTACCTTCGCGTACTCCTTCTGTTCCTTTACCAACAGGTAAAGGAAAACCAACACCCATTTTCAAAGCCGCTGCAGTAGGTACACCTAAACCTGTACCTATTTAAAGATCATGATATATCTGTTTCTTTTTGTACAGTATATTTAAGATCTAACTTACCTAAAGTTGGCGCTATTCTTGGTTTTGCTAAATCAGTTATTTGTGGAAGAGGTTTCACATAACCACTACTCTGAAGCACTTGGTGATACATTTCTATCTTTTCTTTTATTGTTACATTTATTCGGATCTGTTCTTCATTATCTTTCATTACTTCGTCATATCTTCTATCTAATCTTTGTTGTTCGTTAAGCAATTGAGAATTAATATCAAGGAGTTCTTGTAGTCGCCTTTTCATAGATGTGACTCGCAAATTGCGATCTAAATAATAACCAATGAATTCTACACTAAAAGCAGGTGGAATATGCCACTTCTTCCTAACATCAACCAAAGCTACAAGTTGTGCTTCTTGAGCTTCCAATGCAGCAGTATCAACACCCATAAGTTCAGCTTTTCTTGCTAGCTGCCGGCAAGCCGAAGCTGAAGTAGTTAATAATCGAGGCATTTTTTGTGTTGGCACTGGAAATAATACATAAGTATTTTATGTAATATTTTATGCTTAATTAACGTATGTTGTTAATTAACATACCCCATGGTGGTGGCCTAGAGGCTTTATGAGCCAAGTATTTATGTCTATGTTTTGCTAATTTTCTTTGTATTCTACGCTGTTCTTCAGTATCTAAATGATTAGGTTGTTTTAATAATTGTTGTCGATATTGCGCTCGTAGTTGTAACGCCAACCAATTGCGTCTACGTCTACGAACAAGTGTTTTATCAGAATGAAGTTTACAATGTGCATAAAATGGGTCAGCTTGATCAACTTCTTCACTATGGGCTTCAGATAACAGTCCTTCTCTTTGCGCACTACAAAAACATAACAATATGTCTTTTATGTTGATTCCAAACTTGTTGTACTGTGTTTTTATTTATATTGAATAGTTTAATTGTATTTACAACTGATTCTTACCAAGTGACATGAAAATATGTATGACACATCCCTGCATCACATTCTATGCACACACCAGTACGGGCAAAACGTGCATCTTCACATAAAGAACATTGTTTTGCTCCCCATTTACTATAAGCCATTTCAAACAGTGTTACACTTGATAAGCGATCAACCTAAATAAACATATATATGTATATGTATACCTAGAAATAATCTTAGCCCATATTTAACAAAAATTAAAGGTTTGTGTACCTCCCCAAAAGCAACACCAGGTACATAAAGTGCACATACTAAATGTACCCATTTACCTACATCAGTCTCTTTAAAAATTCCACCTTTATTAGGACAAAGTTCACAGGATGGATCTTCAATTCCTGCACTACAAGCTTCACAAAACCATGGTGCTGACTGACATAAAGAATCAGTACTTGAAAAGCTTTCTACATCAGATACACCATAACATCCTTAAATAAATTTAATTTAAACATTATTTTTACCAGCTACTTATCAATATTTATGATTATAAATAAAATTTAAATTACAAATTAAATTGTTAAAAATTTTTACCTTCATGCACACTAACACCACATCCATCACATTCAACAATTTCATTAACATCATCACTTCTGTCTCCTAAGCAACCACAACAAATTAACATTTTATTTAATTTATCTTCAAGTGAACCTCCTTTTAATGCTTGTTGTCTAGCTTGTTCAATTACATCTCCTACAGTCAAGTTAGGATTTTCTTTTTTTTTCAGTAATGGATCTTCCAAAGAGTCATCAGATTGCTCCGATACATCTTCTTCCTCTTTCATAAATGTAAATAAATTTATATTAGTTAATTTCAAAACAAATGTTCATAATATTATGTTTAAAGATCATCATCAGTATATTTTACCTTTTCCAATATCATTAGAATCCACTGAATCGTCATCAGATTCTTCACAGTGATCCTCAATTCTGAAATCACTATCATCAGAGCTTTCACCTAAATCAAAATCAAGTAAAGATTGTGCTGATCCTACAGGCTTAACCCTCCTCTTTTTTGGATCCCTTTCAACTAAAAAGAATTATTTTATATAATAATTTGTTACTTATTTGTTAAATGTTTCATCAAAAGGAATAAAATACAACAATAAACATTTTTCTATCAACAACATACTTAATCCGAGGGATATGCACTCCCAAAAAGGTATAAAAAATTAATTTTAGGTTATGTACTTAATTCACGGTAAATACGTACAAATGCTAGTCATATTACTCTTAAAGCAACACTTTTGTTTAATTTCAATGGTAAAATTTCATACTTTTTTTCACACAAACTTAATATTTCTTTTAAAGATTCTGACACATTCATATACCGCTATATAGTTTTTAAATGTCTTCCACTATGCATCGAATTCATCAAATCGTCAATGTAAAATACTGACGTATGTGTAATATACGACGCCGGTTTCGTGTATTACGATTACGATAACTATTTTATGTATTCTTTTATTTTTGTTCATCGTTTTAAATAAGCTGTTATTAAAGCATTAATTATTTTTTAAATAAAAAATTAAAAAAGGAAATATTATAATATTTTAGAGAGAAAAATGTGTGTTAACGTAAGCTTATAATATATTTATATTGTAAAATTAATAAAATTGTGCAATTTATTATTTCAAATTTAATTTACTTATTAATTAAACTAGATTTTTGTATTTATTTCAATTAAGCATGTATGTTTAAACAGAATGCATACATAGAATTAAAATGTAAACATGTTTTGTATAGCATTATATCTTTAATTGATTTTGTTTAGATTCTAAATTAATATTGTGAAATAGGAAGAAGAAAGACAAGATTACAGTTAAAATTATTTAGAAACTTAAAAAAAAAATTGGAACAAAAATTTCAATAATATGTGTTATAAAAAACGATTATTTATGTTTGTTTATAATATTAAATATTTTAACAAATTGTTTCCTCAACTTACTCATTGTTTTATATAAAAATCCTACATCGTCCTCCTGAGACATTCTTGGCACAAGTTTTCTTCACTTTTTAGTTATATGTATATACATATATAAAATTTAATAATCTTTAAATATATTACTATTAACATATAAAAATTAAAAGTTTATGGTATACATGATAATTATATATCATAATAGTGTACATGCTATTTCATATTTATATTTTGAAGTCTCTTAGTGAATTATTTAACTACTGTACAAAATTATAAAGAAACTTCCTTCGATAATGTTATCCTTCCGACGCTATGTTTCTACCCGAATCAGAATCCAATCGCCATATTGAATCCCGAAATCCTTCAGCGGGAACTACAATTAATCTATTTAAGTAATTATTTATTTATAATGATCATTGTTGGATATATTCAATAATTAGATGTTAATCTTATAGATACAATTTTATTTTTTATTTTATTCCAAATTCTTTCAACTGATTATATATAAAATGCAAATGTTTACAATATATGCATAATCATATTTTTACTATAATAATTAAAGAAATCGATCCCAAATAGAGATTTGTTTTACTTATTAAATACACTTTACTTTAAATAGTTTATATATTTTCACATATTTTGTATGTCTCTATACCTTTAAATATCTCATAAAAATCTTTTATAAATTTAATTCATCACAGTTTAAATCTACTAAATGTTATAACTATCTTTTTATTATAGACCTTTAGTTTAAACTATATAATAATTAAAACAATATGGACAAATATAATTATATCAATAATAAGAAATATTTAATATAATAAGAGGAATTTACAAGTGCATATTATACATAGAACTCACCGAAATCTGACATTTAAAGAGGAATATTGATACTGAGAGAAGCTTAAATTAAAATAAACTAAAGAGTACAGCGTATTAATGAATGATAGTAATAAAATAATTAATACCAAATTGTAATGCATCTTATACTAACATTTGGATTCTCAATTTCTACTAAACCCAATTCAAATATTGAAAATGATAAAAATGTAATTAAAGATAAGGTTAAAAAGAAAATAATACGTCAACGTAAAGAAAAGGAAATAAGTAAGGATACATCTGAAATTACAGAATCTTCGAAGAATGTTATATATGTAGGTCAAATATTAGCCGAAATACACGTGGAATATGAACTTTTCCCAAATTATAATTTTAAATTTGATTGTCGTTGTTGGGAAAAAGCAACGAAGGTACATCATTTTCTTTTAATATATAGAGAAATATTATAAAAATTTATATATATACAATATATATATGTCGAACTCTTTAATATTTTAATAAACAAGTCCTGTATGTAGACATTTCAATAAATTTTACTTTATATACAATAATAAGAAATTACTATTTTGCGCTATTAAAAATTTTGAGTAATTCTTATAATAAATTAGTAGTCATTAACAATAACTTTATTTATAAATAGAAAATTCATCTATTACAATTTACAAATGTTTCCTTTGCTATAAATACTAGAATCTAACGTTAAAATTCAAACATAATATAGCTTTCTTTATCTTTCTTTATAGATCTATACTGAAAATGATGATTTTTGTTTAAGATCAATACCATGTCCAATAAATAAAGATACATGTTGGGTCATATTTTCTATTCATCATTTAGTTCACTTAAATGAAATGCAATTAAAAAACTTTTTTAACTATGTAATTAATTGTCATATATTTTGTGGAAAACACAAATTTTTTGAAAGGTAAGTCACACTCGATGTATGTACGCAAATTTTAAAGTAACAATTAATTGAAATATAATATTTCAAATCAATAATATTCCAATACATGTGTTTAATAATTATGAAATTACATTTTTAATTATATCATGATAATTATACAGTTTCTTTTAGTGACTTTTTATATATTTCCAACAATTTTGTACTATTTAATTAAAGATGCTAAAGAATGCTTACATTGGGTTGTCATTAAATTATTCATACAATAATATATTTAGTTGTACAACATACTATTATTGTTTTAGCTTCTTCATTTCCTATATTTATTTCATAGAGCTAAAAAAGATCAAGTAAAAGGATTTTATATGGATGATAAATCCATTAATGTGGGGCAGGAAGAATTTCTTGAAATATATCCCCTTAATTTGTATCATTCCAATTCTGTTAAACCTTCAACTCCTCCACTTCCACAACCCATAATAATTACAGATGAAATTTATGGTGATTTTAGTATTACTACATATCTTGATGTAATACCAGGTACATATTAAAAAAATGCAATTTTTATATAAAGAAATAACTTGTAGGATACTGTATAAATAAGAATTTTAAAAGGAAAGATTCATAACAAAATAAAAATTAAAAAATTTGTATTAATATTATTCATATTTAAAAAAAAAAATTCATTAGATAGTATACATGAATATATATTTCGGAAAATGTTGAGAAAAGGACGTTTTCCACCTGAATCTTTAAAGCTTGAATTTATTGCCACAAATTCGATTGAGAATGAAAGGAAATCGTCGCCAAAACAAACTAAAAGATCTACTCGACAGAACCAAATTAAAAAAAATGAGAAGGAAAATCAAAAACACAGAATAGATACATATGAGATATGTTTACCCGCCGAAGCCTTGTTTTCTGGTAATTTTTACATTTTATACGTAGTTTATAATTTATAATTGTTAGATTTATTTTCCAGCAGATTAAAGGCTCTATAATGTAGGAACTAAACGTAATTTATGTACTTATATACGTAATTAATGCTATTAATATATTAAATTTTATGGCTAAGAAAGAAAAAAAATTTTCTCCCCGGCGGGGAATCGAACCCCGGTCTCCCGCGTGACAGGCGGGGATACTGACCACTATACTACCGAGGACCTTGCGATTATACTTCATTTAAATTATAATTCTTTTACTGACTAATATACTGATGAAAATTTTTATAATTTTGTACTTTTCGAAAATATCTATATTATAAAAATCACTTAGTATCACTTAGTGCACACATAAATTTACGAAATTCTTCTTACAAAGTATATATCTATCTATCTATCTATTTATATATATATATATGTCGGAGATAGAAGGACAGCGGGATTTCCCGTCCGGAATGTTGGGAAAAACCCTAATACCCTAGTCCAGACTAATAAAATATCTTGCTTTTGCAATCTCGCGACTTGATCCGCGACCGTATTTTTATTTGGTTCTCGCGAAAATCTACCAATCATCTATCTGAACCATCTTTCGTCTTCACGAGTAACATAGGGCTCGCGAACGGCGAATTACTAGGCCTTATGATAGTTGGCTCTAATTAATTCGCTTATTCTCTCCCTCGCAAGAGGGTGCACGGGCCATATTTGGTTTGCACGTCGTGCTGCTTCGTTACACCTGCTCTAAGATCCTCAGCTTTTCGATGTGTACTTGCGATACTGACCACTCTTCTGAAAACGAATGTTTATTGTACCGTTGATTTATTAGGTCTAAAATGACTAATTATAAGTTAACTGTACATAAAATTCGTATATTAACTTATATTTTATATAATAGAATATAAGAAATGCATTTATACATGAGGTAGTTATTTTTGTCTTTGATTTGTAGTTTGCACAATACTTTGAAGTATATCCAAATAGAATATGAAATAACTTATTTTTAAAATAAAATAGGATTATAAAAAAAAAGAAAGTATGAGCAAAAGTTAGAAACTCCCCGTCGGGGAATCGAACCCCGGTCTCCCGCGTGACAGGCGGGGATACTGACCACTGTACTAACGAGGATTTTTACGTCTCGCGTCCTTATTTTTCGAGAATATATAGCGTAACTTAGTATGCGTATTTTATTTAGTTATTTATTAATAATATGTAGCGTAGTTTTCTTTTTAACAATCATTCGTACGGCCGACATCTTTTTATGTCACGCCGGTGCGAGTCACTTTGATCTATCTTAAATAGGTTGTAATTATATTTCCAATTATTGTTCACATAGTTTACGTTAATTCTATAAAGAATTGCTTTTTCGTTTGCTTGTTTCGTAATGTGATACGTATTGTCTTTGCTGTAAATGTAACCTTGACTATCTAAATAGATGAAAATTCCTGGTAGAATATATTTAGAGAACCACGCTCATTATTGTAAATTTTTTATTGCTTATTATATTTCTATTATGCGTGATTTTTATATATATATTGTAATTATAGATACTATATTTATCGTATGTAATCTAATGTAAAATTAATGTTTAGTAAAATTTAATTTAATATACAATGCATTTACAGTTTTTGAACGTCTTCATTGATGACTTTATGGAGAATATTCCTTCTCTGCGCCCTGTGGAATCATTCGATCCCTCTGATTCACGACACAGTGTAGTAATTTGTGACACCCTCAAATGTCTGCCACTTACTCTTATAAAGTTCCATAATACTGAAAACAAAAGACTGTTTCAACTTTTGGCTTCGTTTAAAGCGTTTAAAGTTTCACGTTCTTTTACACTTACACTGATAATTTTTCACGTTATAACTATTTGATTCATTTTTCGTCTAATTTTTATAATCTATAATTGTATTACATATTAAATATTATCATGTTTTGGCTGGAATCCTTGTCCTTTTATGGGCAAATTTGAACATAAATTCAACTACGAAGTTCTAGCATAACTGTTGTGTTTTTCCTTACAATTATTTTACTAGAAAGATGTTTCACCTTCTTCTCTCCTGTGATCAGATTTATTTAAAGTCAATCCAATGTCTGGTTTCTCGTCATTATCGTTATCCCTAAAATTTCTACTATCTTTTTCCAAATAACTTCAAGTCGCTGTTTAATTATATATATATACATGTATTGTTATTCGTATACATATGTACTTACTTTTACTGGTCACATGCAGCATATTTGTAAGTTCTTATTGTAATTGTTCGACAGTGAAATTTTTTGCATTACACATCGACGCTTAAAATCACCAATATGCAATTTACAATTTATATAATTTGTTATATAGAAAAAACCCTACTTATCACCAAATTAAAATATAAAAATAATATTCAGTTTCCAGAATATCATAGAGAATTAAATATTATGCTATTTAAAATACCTATGATCTATAATTGTATCTTCGGTATATTGAAATCTTTCGGTAATTGATAATCTTTCGGTAAATTGAAATAATAATTTTACACTAGTTCCGAATAAAAGATAATAACAATTTTATTTTCAGATATGGGTACAATTACTAGTTACAACCGAACACCACAACTACCATGTATTTCATCGATCTTGATATACGCACAGTGTCAAAATATTTTAACAAACAAGCAATTACGCATGAATTTGAATCCTATATCGATCAAATTGGAACAGTTATCGAATTTCCCGGCCAATATAGTGATTGAAAACGGTTTCAAGTGTATATATATGAAAATTCTTTTCGTAGATCATACGATTGTCACACCATGCTATATTCCAAATAGAATCATGTATTTCGAATTTGTTAAGTGCTTCCTCTGTGAGGAATTTCAACCGAAAGAATTGGTTAATTTTCTTACAACAAAATTTCTTACTGTCCAGGTGATTAGAATCTTGTATAGAATGTAGAATATATGTATAATGAGCGAAATAATTTAAGAACGTATCAACTTTTGTAATTAGGTAATTGGCGTACGAATTATTGAACCCTCAATTTCTGACCGACCTGACCATGATAAATCGGTATCAAAATCATCTAAAGCAGTCACGAAAGAGGAATTTTTACTAGGAATTGCTAAATTTGATGTATCTGATCTTTTGAGAGGATTTTGGGAAGTAAAATTGACAAATGACTTGATTCATCCTTGCAACATATTTGCTACCAATATTGACTATACAGATGATGAGAGAAAGAAAATTTTGTGGAAGAATTCACCTCTTACTTCAGATACTTTTACATCGTACAGTACATCGATGAAAATTAAAATTCGTGCAACGTGTGATTTGCGAATAATTCAAAAGAAGATCATTCGACATGAAAATATATTCAACAGAATATTTTTCAATTTGAACGATTTGAAATTAGCTAATGACATTTTGAAAGATGTATCTCTTCATAATTCCAACTTACTGACCATTTACGAATCTTCAATAGAAGACAATAATTTAAAAGTAAAATTTTGAAGTATAATTGTAGTTTGATTTTCTTACCACTCTTTATATATTCTTCTATTGTCATACATACTTATCAGTTTTAGTTAGTTGATATGATTTTTTGATGTTATTTATGATACAGACACAGGGTATGTTGAAGCATATTTTAACGGGTTTCGCTATAGAAAATTGTGAAAAATCCTACATTTTTTTGGAAGGCTTGTCAAACGGATACTTGTTAAAAATTTGGGAAAAGGTAAAGAAACTCCCAATTCAACATAAATGCATTTATTATAATAGCAGTTATGTATTTTTTACACGACTTTATGAAGATTTCATACTTTTAGGCGGAATTATTCATATTAAATTGAGGTAAACTAAAAAAAATTAACGTATGCTTGTTTATGAAATTATTTCGAAAATTTTATGTTACTTTCGTATTTGATTATCTTTCTTTAATTTACTTTTCATTCAGAATTTTTATGAGGTAATACATAAATTTTCACTACATTATATTAAACACGTTTATTTTGTTTAAAGCGAATCCTTAGAAATGCAACTTCGCAAGTGCATTTTATATATTGGTAAAACGAAAGCAACAATTCAGTCAAATGTTATAAGGAAATTAGGATTGATGAATCTATCATTAACGATGAAATCTTTACATCAAACACATCTATTCCCAGAACCAGATGATATAAAAGCTTTTATTAATGATATTCGAAAAATATGTTCCACAAAATACATTCGTAAAAATATGGTGTAAATTACTAATAATTATAACAATTATGAATGTAGGACTTAAAATTTGAAATTTGAATTGTTGTGATAACAAAACAGCACAAATTTTATTAAAATAACAATACAAATATCTACTTAATCTATTTAGAAAAAAGAACAGAAATTGTATTAAAGGATGAATATGAAATATTGCTCGAAATTATTTTTGATTACAATTTGTAATTATGAACGTACATAGGTATATATTTAAATAAATGCATTCAACAGCACATTACTATAGTTATGATTATGCCGGTTACCTAATAACAACGGACTTTGTTATGTTAATACATGATTTTCTTTTTGTCATAATGATTTAGCAATAAATATGAAAAATTAAATTGTAAACGTTATACAATTATGTTAATATTATGTGATTTTAAAACAAATTGCATCAGATATCCTGTATTGATTGCTATTGAAATATGTATGTAACACGCAGAGTACAAATTCTACAGCTGTTAATATATCAGTCATGTTAAATAACAATTCAATTTTTACTTAAATACTTTTATAATATTTATCTTATTCAGAAAATTTAAACATAAAATTACACGAATCTTGCAAATCAACCTTTAAGGTACTGTAAAACACGTGTTCTCTTCAATAAATAACCTATATGTACTTTTGGTTCAATTAACAGATATTAAAACGAAATTTTTCGGATAAGCAATTAATGCTGTATTGTGTTAAAATTAATTATCATATATTTTTATAAATAAAATTAACAAACATTTTTACTTTTAGATCATGCTCGTCCAGAAAGGAATTCAGAAAATTGATGTATACAGATAATAATTAAAGTTTACATTTTATATTGCACATTGATTTATCAGTTTTCTTATATTAGAAGCAGAAATTTTAGTACTTTATTTTACTTAATTTCAAAAATTTAACTTTCATAAAGGTATACTAGTTTTTACTAATAACATTGAAAATAACAATTTCATGAATTAAAAAAAAAAGTATTTTCTTAATCTGTTGTTTTAACAATCTTTACGTATTTGTTACTAGTTTACAATACAAACATTCAGCATTAAATATTGTTAGAAATATAAAAATTTTTCGGTAATATTTTACCTATATAAATATTAAATTAGAGCAAAATATAATTCATTATATGTATGATAGATTGATATTAATTTTTTAACACATATATGCATATTATTCTTAATATTTTGCTTATTACATTTGTTTCATATAGGTAAAATGGTTTCTCAAATATTTGATGAATTTCCAAAAGGAATGCAATTAGTTAATTCAGATGATGAATCTCAGACTCATATACCAACTAATAAACAAGTTGGTGGTACTAATAAAGTACAAATGAAAAAACAGCTTGGCCTTTTAGAAGGAGTTGCAATTATTTTAGGAATTATATGTGGTTCAGGTATGAATTTATTGTGATTTATATATTATAGCACGTTCCAAATATCTAATAATTTTCTAAAATTAATTTCTTATATCTTTGTCTAATTTGTAGTTACAAAACTTTACAAACTATAACTATAAATTTTTAATAGAATTAATTATTCTGCTCGTAGGTATTTTCATTTCTCCAAAAGGTGTAATCATAGAAGTAGGAAGTGTTGGAGTTTCTTTAATTGTTTGGGTTTTATGCGGTTTACTTTCCATGGTGGGAGCATTATGCTATGCTGAATTGGGTACTTGCATACCTCGTAGTGGTGGAGATTATGCTTATATTTATGAGGCTTTTGGTGATTTACCTGCTTTTCTATATTTATGGGCAGCTAACTTAATTTTTGTGTAAGTTACATGCATAAAATTTTATCATTGTTATTTATTGCCACAGGGGGAGTGGAGAAGAAATAATGTTATTTCTGCAATTTCAGACCAACTACAAATGCTATCATGGGATTAACTTTTGCTGAATATGTTTTAAAACCATTTTTTCCCAATTGTTCTATTCCAGATAATAGCGTACGTCTACTGGCAGCAGTTACTATTTGTAAGATGTTTTTCTTTGCACATAAAATGCAGCTATTTTTTTCTTCAGTCATATCATATCATTCATTTATACTATAGGCTTTTTGCTAAATTTTTAATTCTAATTTTATTTAATCATTCATAGATATTTGTAGCTCTGTATCATCATTATCTTTGCTCAAAGAATATTGTTTCTATAATATTTTTATGAAGCAATATGATTGATTTATCATTTCTATAATTTCAATGTTTTAACAGGTTTACTTACATTCGCAAATTGTTATGATGTTAAAGAAACATCTAAAATGCAAAATGTATTCATATTTGCTAAAGTTGGTGCATTAATAATTATAATTATTGCTGGGTTGGTTTGGATAATGTTAGGTAAGTATAATTTTAATATACGGCTAGGTATTAGTATTATTAAATCTTCAAAAAGGAACCAAACAGAATATAAATTTTTTTATTATGGACTCAATTTAAATAACTTTGCTCTTCTTAAAATTCTTCTTTTAATAATTAGCTATATGTATGTATTAATAATTTGTTTCAGGACATACAGAAAATTTTGAAAATGCCTTTGAAAATACAATCACGGATCCTAGCAAAATCGCAGTTGCCTTTTGTTCTGGTATATTTTCATATTCTGGATGGAATTACTTAAATTTTATGACTGAAGAATTGAAAGATCCTTATGTGTATGTAGTATAAAGTAACATAGGATCATTTTTTTTTGCAATAGTGAATAAATAATTTTATTTTACAGAAATTTACCACGAGCTATATACATATCACTACCTTTAGTTACTTTCATTTATGTGTTGGCAAATGTAGCTTATTTATCAGTTTTAACACCAACTGCAATGATTGCCTCTCATGCAATTGCTGTGGTTAGTATTATTTTCTATATGGTGATTTTATTGAAAAGATGTATAATTTAACTATTGAGACAAATTTTTGTTAGACTTTTGGAGATCAACTTCTTGGTGTGATGGCATGGACAATACCTGTAATGGTAGCTATATGTGCATTTGGAGGATTAAGTGTTCATATTATGACATCGTCTCGAATGTGTTTTGTTGGTGCTAGGAACGGACATTTTCCTTCAATGTTAAGTCATATTAATATTTCGAGATTTACACCTACACCGGCCTTAGTTTTTCTTGTATGTATATACAGGGTGGTTAGTAACTGGTGATTCGATACTCGTTCAACCTGTTTGATGCTTCAATTATGAAGTTACTTTATCTTATATATACAGGGTGGTTGGTAACTGGTGGCACAGGCGGAAAGGGGGTGATTCTACGCGAAAAAAGAAGTCGAAAATATAGAATAAAAATTTTCTTTTTTTAATTTTTTTTTTTAATTTTTCCATCGAGATAACGATCTACAGTGAGATCCGTTATAACGTACCGCACGCATACCGAACGAAAATTCAAAGTCGATTTTCTCGAAAACAAAGCCTCAAACGAAAAATTTTTATTCTATATCACGTAGAATCACCCCCTTCCCGCTTAGCTTTCCACCAGTTACCAACCACCCTGTATATGAAATATATATTGTATTACATATTCCAAATTAATGTTCATTGAAATATAAATATTTCCTTTTTTATTTTTAGTGTATATTATCTTTAGTAATGCTGTGCACAAGTGATATTTTTGTATTGATTACATACTGCAGCATAGTCGAATCATTTTTTATAATGTTATCAGTATCTGGTGTTTTATGGCTTCGTTATAAACAGCCCAATATGAGTCGACCCATTAAAGTAAGTAATTAGATATTAGGTTGTCAAAAAAGTTTCTTTCGTTTTATAAAGAAATAATGGATGCACAACATTTTTCGTTTTATATTATTTTATCGAATTACGTATAATCCATTTATTATTTTATCGAATTACGTATAAATTACGTATAATCCATTTTGTTCTATCAAAATAAAGATCACAACGTTCGACAGATTAGGATTCATATTTGATAAAGATGCGTTATTGTAAAAGACGTGTCTGCAAAAGAAAGATACTTTTCGGACAACCTAATAGATAGATATTACTTCAAACGCTCCGGAAATATTTTGATTAAAATTATAAATATATTTTTTAGATGCCTTTATGGATTCCTATCACGTTTGTATGCATATGTGCATTTTTAGTATTTTTTCCTTCCTACCAAAGACCATACGAAGTTGGAATAGGTGCCTTAATAACTTTATCTGGAATTCCAGCTTATTTTATTGGTGTTAGATGGAAAAATAAGCCACTATGGTTTCAACAACTTATTCGTACGTAATATCCATATAATATATTTATCATGTTATAAATCTTCCACAGACACATTTTTAATTATAATGTAATGTTAACTTTCTTGCATTTCAATAATTTTATGACATTTGCTTTTACAGTTGAAATTACTTATACCGTTCAAAAATTATTCATATCTGCCACCGAGGAACGGGATCATTGATTTACATAGTACGAATATTAAAACAGTTTGGTGTTGCATTGAATTTTGATATTTTGCTTTAATATACATGGTACTAATTTGCATATTGCTAACACCACATAACTGTGTTCTTGGTAAACAGAAGTTTACAGTGTATATGTAAGATAAACGCGAAATTGCTCTCTAGAGTGTAAGATTAATTGTTTATATGTGTTATTTACATTGTATAACCAAAAATTATTATTTATTTTGAGAAAATCTTAACCATTTTAATCTCTTACATATAGAATGATAATTTTGGTCTTCTAATAATCGCATAGTATTATATGCGAATATTGCTACAAAATCTATCTAGGAATGATGATCTATTTTTACGAGTATTAATATACATATTTTCTAATCTTTATTTAATAAATTAAAAAAATAAACATTATTTGTATGAGTTAATCATTAAATTTAAATAATTGTGTTGAAGATATTAAGCATATTATTATTACACTGCAATGTATAGCAATGTAAACATACATGTTAAGATTTTATTAAATAATTTTAAAGTAATAATAATATGATATTTTTCAATACTTTCAAAGTAAAATATGATGTATAATAATATTAATCATAGCTTCCATGATACAGATAATCCACAATAAAAAGTTTGATCAAAGTTTTTATAGTATTGTGATAAAATAATTTCAAAAATAAATTATATAGATAAAAGCTGATATCATTGTTTTTAATTGGAATTAGTAAAAAAAATAATATGACAATAAAATTTTCTGTTTGTTAGAGAAGGACAAAATTTCAACACATTCAAATACATATATTCTAATTTTGTATCTCCTGTCGTTTATCTGTTTAAATATTCATTAAATACATGAAATAACAACTTATTAGTAAATAATATACATTCATGCACATTAATTTTCTATTACATACATTAATGAAACTGATATTTTTGCTGTCTTGTAATGAGCTTTAAATACATTGTTGTTTATTATATTTATTTACATAATCAAAAAATTCATATAAGCAACGTCTTAGTAGAATATGCTTCTTTTGTTTAACAATGATTTAAAATTTAAATAATACCAGATGTCTGCACAGAACAAGATTTATACACACATTGTATAAAGAAATTGAAAAATTGGTAAATTTTTGAGATGTAAATAATGGAATGTTATACATATTTCTATTTTTTTTATGTAATCTATAATGTCAGAACAGCCATTACATACAGATATTAACAAATACCAAAGAGGTCGTCAAATCTTTTTTATACACAGATTAATGTATATCTTCTGGATTAAACATTCCCTGTAAAGTAAAATTAGAATATCTAATTAATTGATAAATTTAAAGTAGGTATGGTAAGTGGTTTATATGGATATTGTTTTTAACATAAAACAAAATTTTTGCAATAAAATACTATTTATAGATCAATTTATTGATCTATAGTTAGACTATTTATAGAATAAAATACTATTTATAAATAATCAAATATATAATTACAAAGTTATAGCAAATTGATAGTTTCTCTTTAAATAAGTTTACTTTATGTATAATGTTAAAATACATATATTTTTTCATAATATTAGTATAAAAATAAAATATTACGATCATTATCCATAATTATATACAGTGTATAAAGAATTGATAAAAAATAAATAAATGTGATGATTATTTTTATACTAATAATTATAAGTACTACAATCTTACCTTAGCACGCCTTAAAATAGAATCCTTACTGGCATCATATGGATGGTCTTTACTTGGAATTTCTAATACTGAAGGTATGGGTTGTGTGTGGCTATCAATTACGTGACGAATCATTTCAGCAACCTTAAAAATACATTATCAAAGATATATCAATATAATCATGTTATTTAATAATAATTTACTAATAAATATGACTTTGGTTGAATATTATATACAACAAAATTTTAATTCAAAGCATAGATAATCTTATTAATAAATTGTATTTATTAAAACTTTATTTTTCAAAGAATATTTTTTCTTATTCTTTATTTTATATAAAGAGTATATAAAAATATTACTCCTATTTACATTATTAAAATACACCATATTTATTTTTTAGAATCTTATTGTTATTTTAAAGATAGATATAATACTTACATTTTGATTTATAAGTATAATATCAATATCATCTCGTTTAATGAAACGTTTAAACGTATCTTCTATGTCACTTACAGCTGTATCTGTAAAGAAATATGTAAATGCTACAGATTTAAGAAACTTTTAAATAATAACAATTCGTTTGATAAACATTTTAATACGAAGTATAGAATATTTGAGTACAATATTTGAATACAAGCACAGAAAAATATAGATTTCCATATTTGATTTTTTAAAATTGAAATTTGGTTACATACATACTTTTATCTACGACCATAAAATTGGGTTGTCGATGTTTATTAATTTCACCAACCCCGCCCAAAAGAAATCCAACACAAGTATCCTAAAAATGAAACTTTTATATATATACTTTGGATATGAAATAAACTTAAATATACGTTTCAATTACCTCGTCTCCGATCACAGCAAGAAGTTTCCCTTTCCCCGCTGAATGTAAAGCCATTATTATCGATAAATGAAGAATACCAGAGCAAATTTAAAAGAATAATTGTTAATTTAACAAATCTTGACGATACATCAGCTGACAAGTCACACCTACGTGCTTAAGCTATGTACTAGAATATCACGTGTCAAACTTGTCCAATCGAAATAGTACAGTAAATGGAAGGGAGGGAGGAGATAAGTACTGATCAACTTTAAAAACAGCAAATTCTGAAATAGGCTGGCATTTGGCATACTATATACCTACATATGTACGTACCAGTGTAGCCAGATATCCACCGTTCCTTTATCTTTCCTACGTTATCGATCGAAAAAGGATGTAAATGTAATACATGATAGTAGATAGTATGCACTGAAAGATAATTTCTAAACGTGCAAACTTATAAGATACTGTTTTACATATATCAAACTTTTCTACTTATCAAGCTAAGTTTTCAGTAAAATGGTTCTTTTTACCATTTCATTCACTAGCGTACGAGGGTAAAAACATATAAATTTATTAAAATGAAATTAGAAGAATATATTGATAAAAAATTCAACCGAAACATATGACAACTTTAGTTAGATAGTTTCTCTATGCGCGCAACGCGTAATGTCTAGGGTTATGTTTCTGTATGTGTTAGAGCACACATTAGTGCTATGTGTATTTGATACTAATTATATATGTAAATTGAAAGACGGGAAATTGTATTAAATTGTATAGTTTTATGCATTGTTTTTCGTTGTATTAAATATGTAGAAGTACGAAAACAAGTTATCATTAAAGACATTTCTACAAAACTCGATATACGACTCCACGATTATTATTACTAATTATGTTATTTAGGTTATTATGTTATGGAACTTATAAAGTTCTTAAATAGTTGTGTATTTTCGTTATTGAACACAACGATAAATATGCAAACTCATAATATATATATCAGTTTGTGTTAAATGTAAAAAAGAGTGTGCTGGCTAATTATCGTTTGCTGTTAATAAAATCTCTAACTTGTAAGTCATGATTATTACAATGAGCATAACCCTAAGTAAATATCTATATTGATAATTTAGACATGTTTTCTTATGCATGAAATGACCTCTATAATATTTGATCCTTAATTAAGTAGCATAAATATATTTTTTAATATGTATTTTCAATATTGTATTTTAGGAATTACATTTTCTTAACATATGTACTTGTTAGCTGAGATAGTATAATTACCAGTTAATATACAGAACGGTAAAAAAAATGTCATTTGTGAATGATGTTAATATCTACAAAAAAATGGTTTCTCAAGAAATCATACAAAAACCATGTACTATAAATGAAACTTCAGCAGAATTTATGGTTCTACCCAAATGTGAACACTCGGAAGAAACATTGGTAATAAAATAATTAATATTTCAACAAATATATATCTTATATTATTACATATTCTTTGTCTATTTTATACTTTGTATATTTTTATATACTTTTCTACGTACTACATCTTATATATATATATATCTTACATATTTTCAATTTATTTTATTATTAATTATCAATATTATGTATAGATTGTTGGTGAGGAAATAATTGTAGATGAAAACATAGATATTAATCAAATGTCAGAGGAAGTAATTTGTAAACAGAAAGATACTTCTGAATATTTTGAAGAAAGTATGAATACAACAATGTCTGTTGAATATGCGGAAGATGCTATATCATTATCTGGAGAAAATACACCTAGACAAAAGTGGCTTTCAAATGATGTCAATAAGGAAGAATTGTTGGTAAATATTAAATGTTTAAAATTTTATGATAAAAGATCAGAATACATTGAAGTGATAAAAGCAAAATAATGAAATCGGTAAATTCTTCTTTTATTTTAGTATGTTTTGTTAATTAATACGATGTGATAGCTTTCAGAATCAGAGGAAAGTGAAGCAGAAACATATAATAAAGTAATAATTGATGATCAAGATGGAGATGAAGAAACAATAGCCACATTTGTAACTGCCGCTGGTCAACAATTAGCATTATATGCAGTTGAAGATTCAGATGAAATTTTTGCTGTAGCAGTTTATGATGAATCTGGTGAACCACCAACAAATTTTCAATTTCTCATGAAGTATGTATATTTATGCATATATTACATATCAGATACAGTTAATAACAGACGTAATTCAATAATTACGTGTGAAAATAATAAAATGATCATATTTACAGATCAGATGTTGAAAGATTAATAGGAGAAGGCGCAGTTAGAACTGTTAAAAAACCAACACAGATAAAAAGACAATTATTGACTACTGAGTCACCAATATTTTTTCCTAAAAGTGAACCAATAAATGATATGTCAATGGATAATGAAAATAAAATCATGTCAAATGAAAATGAAAGGATACAAGAAAAAGAATATATATTGGAAGAAAATTCAAATTTAATGAAACATTCTAACTTAAATTTAGGTACAAAACGAGTTTCTAACATTATATATGCAACAGATGAAAAACAACCAGATGTAACATATTTAATGATGGATGATTGTTCTGCAAATATAGGTATGTATCTAAAACTAGTAATTATTAAATAATATCTTGATATAACGAAATTTCAAATATTACAAAAATATCTAAATTTTTAACAGATAATTCTGAAGAATATCAGGAAGATGATAAAAGTGATAGTGAACTTGTAGAACAATCAACTGTGCAATACATCTTATTCGAAGGAGACCAATCTGATTCTGAACTAACATTCGATGAAATTCACAAAACTCTTCAAAATTTAAAAGCAAATGCAGCAAAAAAGCAAATGAATAAAAAGATCATTAACAGAGATCAAAATAACTTTGGAAATCTCAAAGAAACGGAATATGAAACTTCAGTGTATCAAAATTCTAATGTGTCTAATAAGATGTCTAATAGTTTAACAAAGAGAAAATTCAATCTGTTAGATAGTCAACAGGAATTATTGGAGACATTAGCAAATTCATCAGCAGATTTAATGCCAAGTAGTACAAATTTAGATATATCAAATGGTTCGATTGAATATACGTCACCCGAGTCGTCACAAATACAGTACAAAACCAAGCGATCCCGGAAACAACAATTAATTTCTGTAAATCGCGAAGATTCTGAAATTATTATACAACCAGCATCTCTTGTAACTGAAGAAGACAATAATGTTAGAAAAAGAGTAAGACGAAATAAAAGAGTAGCTCATTCTAGATATCGTCAAAGAAATACCGACTCGAAAAGAATGAAAAAGGTCAAGCGAAAAGAAGTTGAAATTATTGAAATTGATATTGATGAAGAAGAAAGTATCCTGCAGTCAGAACGGGATGTTGTTGAAATAACTATAGATGATAGTAAAGATAAATATTCTAGCGATAAAGAAAATGAAATTATAATGGTTGGAGATTCTGATGACGAATCTCAACAATCCAATTCAAAAGCAATTTTATTACAATGTCAACATTGTTTAAGAAATTTTAGACAACAAAGAGCTCTAGAAACTCATTTGCGAGTTTGTTCGAAATCACCCTCTAATACAATACGGTTTAATGAACAGAAATTGAAACATGCAAATGGAACGACTGAAGATACTGTTAAAAAACAATACGCTTGTAAAATATGTCAACAAAAATTCGATGTAGTGGTAGCATTAGCCCGTCATGTACGTTCAGAACATTCTCAAAGAAAAAAACGTAGATTTAGTAAACTATCAGTCGAACGACCATCCATAGAAATTAAAGAAAAGAAGGAACACATTGAGCCAAAAAAACAGACTATAATTAAAAAGATTAAAAGGAAAAGAAATCAAAGACCAAAATGCACCTGGGAGGTAAAAAAATTAAGTTGTTCTGATTGTGGAAGGTGGTTTCCCAGTGCTGCTTTATTAAGAGCACATTGTTTACAACATGGAACAAAAAAATCTGGTATGTTATTTTTAATAATTATTTTATTGATATATGTATAATAATTCATTATGAGAACATTAAATAACTGAAAAATATTTATTACAGAACAACAAATACGCAGATGTCAGATATGTAAGAAATTAATTAGATCTAGATTACTTTTTGTACAACATTTGAAGAAACATAGAAATTTACAAAAAAATATAAAATCCGTACCGAATATTCAAAAGAAGCTACACACAACTAGGTCAGTGACAAGTAAAATTACTGCACTCAGAAAACGGGGACGTTCACGAAAACTTTGATCTCTTCAAATATCAACACATGAAATTTGTAGAAATTGGTGATATATGACAGATACTGTTGCTATTTCTTCTAATGTGAAATATGTATAATAATATGTTCATACTTCCAATAAAAATTGGAAATATTTATATGTTCATTAAAGAAATATCTTACAATTACATTAGATACCTAGTTAAATGTATATATCATTTAGATATACCGTGTATATTATGTATAATTTAACTATATACTATAACATTTGCAGCTTAACTTTTACATTGACTAAAAGATTGATTTTACCCAGTTTTTTTGATTACGCAACTCTTTAAGAAACATCAAGTGCCGAAAATTAATTAAATTTAAGCAAAATGTTGAAACATATATTATTATATGAATAAAATGCTTAAGCTAAATTACATAGGTCAGTTTTTCTTCACAAATTTAACCAAGGATGATTTATCATATTTAAACAATATTATTGATTACTGTAAATAAAATAACTGTATTGAAAGTATATATATTCAATTTTATTTGGATCATAGACTCGAATATAGTAAACATGTTTATGCATTTTTTTAACCTTAAGAAAAGCAGAATACCAAAATTTGAGTATTTACTTTGATTACAGATGAATGAAACGTATGAGATTTTCTTATAAAATTAATGTCATAAAGTAATATACATATAAATGTTCATATACACTACTACCCGCTTAATGTACGTTGGTTGGGTTCACGTGGTGAATATTATCTAGAAAGGTGTATCCCAGGAATTGCTTTTTTCAGTACGTTCAGCTCAGTTTGCATTGGGAGCGAGAGTGAGACATATTTACGGTAAATGAACATACTCGCTTTGGAGAAGCAGTCCTAAGAATTGATGAAGGTGATTACAAGAACATTAATCGAGGTAAAATATAAGTGAGTGAATATAAGAATATGTCCAAAATATGGCAAAAAAAGCGAACATTAAGTAGGAATTATTATAATACGAAGATCACTGATGAGTATGGGAGGAATTTAGCCAAAAATACACTTCACAAATTATCACCTCTAGTGATCAAATGATCGAACTATATGCACAGTTCTTCCTACGATGTTTTTGACGGGAAAAATGTGCATATGCATAGCAAGAGGTGAAAATGTATGTTAGTATCAGATCGTACGGAACTGACCAAAAATACGCTCTATTGCGAACTCTTATCACCGATGAATCAATGCTCTTATAGGTTTTGATCGTCATTTTCAATTTTCGTATGAGAGGAATTGTTTTAGATCTATCGATCAATTAACGGAATGAAATTATTATAAAAGTACGCGATTACACAAATTGTTATACAGAAAATTATAAACTTATTGTAGAATTATACAATTCTTATAAACTTACAGATTGAATTGAATAAAATAATTTTATTTTGCAAATGAATAAAATCCTCAAATCCTTTCCAATAAGTTTCCAAAAGTTTAACGAAGTAAGTTATAAAAAACGACGAAAGAGTTTGAGAAAATTGATAAGTTTTGATAAATATTAAGAGAATAAAACAACATAAGAGGTATTTCGAATCTTTTCAAATTCTTGAAAACAGGTAATTTTCTAAGGACATATGAGAATAAAAAATTTATCGGCTAAAATAGCGATTTTGTATCAGGAAAACATGGTAATAGGAAGTGGTACAATTCGAAAATAACATTACATTCCAGAAATTTTTTAGATTATATTTTTGGATTCTTGAAAAAATATTTCGCCAAAATCTCGATTTTATAACAGGAGAATATAATATTATAAGAGGCAGCACTATTTCAATAATACTTGGAATTTGACATCACATCTCGGAATTTTTGAAAACTATTTCGCGATCGTTTGTTATACTATACCTCTTAAAGTTCTTATACTGTATCTGTATACTGTTCTTGTACTGTATAATCATTTCTAATAATCGTTGTTGCCAGTATCCTTATTGTTATTTCTACAATACAAAGGAAAGGAATTTACTTCTAATATTTCATTAAGTCTTCAAGTAATTTTTATATTTTTTTACCCTTATCCTTCGCCGATCGTCAATACGAATTTCCCTTCGTCGTACATATGCACATTTCTTTCACCCAGAGCATCGGAAAAGAAATGTGCATATAGTTTGGGCACTGACCACTAGAGGCTCTTATCCTTAGTTCACATTGCTTGATTGACTTTGTTAATATTACATTAGCGTTCTCCCTTTTCACTTCTGCTGTAATGACATAGATTTTATAAGTATAATGATTTTTAAACAAATAAAAATATCGGATATATTTTATAAAATATACAAAAATTATTGAATAATACTTTTTGAAGTGAATATGACCAGCTAGCCTCTTATAAATATTTTTACAATAGAGTAAAAAATACAAAAGATACTTCTTGAATATTGTTTTATTTGTCTACCGTCTGTATGTTATAGAATCTTTTTATTTCCTCAGAAATGGGAACCGGAGCTCCTGACATTAAATCTCGACCTGTAGTAGTTTTTGGAAATGCTATCACGTTTTTTATATCTTTTGTGTTACAGAGCAAACACATTAAACGGTCCAATCCTAAAAATCCAATTTATTTGTTATGATACTCCATTGTCGGATATAGTTAATATTTGAACTAAAAATAAAATACCTATAGCAATTCCACCATGAGGTGGAGCACCAGATTCTAAAGCATCAAGTACATGCATTAAGTGTGTTTCATCTATATTTAGCATCTTAAATAGTTGTTTTTGTAATTTTGAGTCATGGATTCGTATCGATCCTCCTGCGATCTCGAAACCATTCATAACCAAATCATAATGCAATCCTCTAACCTATAAAAGTATTTCACTTATTAAAATACTATTAAGCTTATTAATTAATTAACATGGGTACCTTCAGTGGATTGTTCATAAGATATTGCATATCATCTGGATGAGGTTGCGTGAATGGATGATGCATAGTTTCTAATGAATTTGTTTTAGTATTAAACGAAAATAAAGGGAAATCAGTGATCCATAATAATTCATTCCTACTAGTAAATATTTCTTGACCTTCACTTTCTAAAAACTTTGTAAATTCAAGACGTACTTTTCCTAATAGTGATTGCTGTAATTTTAAGTTTGATATTAATATATATAACTGCTTGATGTTAATGTATCATTAATAAATGTAGAAAATATAATTAACAGATTAATATTTACCGTGTTTACTTTTTCTCCACAAGCTAAAAACAGTACATCTCCTTTTTTTAAATTTAACTTTTGTTGTACATTTCCATCAATAATATTTGTTATTACTGGCGATTTGTTAGGTATCTTTGTTTGTATTAATTTCACAGAAGGGAAATAAGTACATTGTAGTTCAGATATAGTATCTTTGATAGATTTTGTAAGAAAATCCTAGGGTATACAAAATATGTTATAAATATAAAAATACCAAAAATCAAGGAAAATATAAATAACTTGTAAACATACATGTTTTTGGGAAAAAACTAGAGCATAAACTTCACGGTGTTCATTTTGTTCCATTTTTAAACTTTGTTCTAATACTGAATGATCAATTAATTCCGTCAGTCTACAAAGCTGAAATATTAATACTATTTTTGAAATTATTCTTCGAATTTAAATTAGAAGCATATTTAAATCTTACTTGTTGTGGTATTCGTAAATCTGGTTTGTCTGTACCATATAATTCCATTGCATCCTCGTATTTTATGTGTTTAAAAGGAATAGTTAATTCTCCTGATTCTTGAGGCCAAGAATATGCTAATAAGTTTTCAATTAACATCATTATTCCTTCACAATCAACGAATGACATTTCAATATCCAGCTGTGTAATAACATATCTATGAGTACTAAATGATTTTATATAGGATATATATCTGCAAGTCAAAAATTATACCTGTGTAAATTCAAGTTGTCTATCATGTCTAGGCTTTTCATTCCTGTAACATCTTGCAACTTGAAAATATCTGTCAAAGCCACCAACCATTAATAATTGTTTAAATTGTTGGGGACTCTGTACTAATGAATAAAATTGATCCAAGAGTTTTGTTGGGACTATAAATTCATGTGCTCCCTATGTTAAAAAAAAGAAGGTTTAAATATCTTGGCCATAATGTTTTTAGTACCATTCTGATATACATACTTCAGGAGTATTTTTAAATAATGTTGGAGTTTCAATATCGACAAAATTGCATTCTTTAATTAGGTATTCTCTCATCTTCATTATCACTTCTGAACGTAATCTTAAATTCTTTTGTAATTCAGGATATCTTAATGATATGTATCTATACTTCATTTGTACATTTTCATTTGCCTTATTATAGTCTCTAATAATAAATGGAATATTTAAACTTGCTATGTTTAAAACTTTCAAGGATTTTATTTCTACTTCAATATCTCCAGTTCCCATGCACTTATTGTTTTGACCCTCTGGTCTTTTTAATACTCTACCTTCTATGCTCAATATACTTTCAAAGGTCAAATTCCTAGCCATTTCTTGTAAGTCCTTTCTCTAACATAACAGATAGTTTATTTTTAATATCAATATATATACATATAGTATACTTTATTGGAATTTATATCCTTTAACTCACATGTTCAGGTATAATAAATTGAGTAGAACCATAAGAATCTCTCAATACCAAAAATTTGTTAGCTCTTAAAAATTCTAACCACCCACATAATTGAACATTCTCTCCTACATTTTGTAGTCTTAGTTCACCACATGTATGAGATCTTGAAACAAATTTATTAACTGGTTGCACATTTTCTTTTATTCTTTGTTGTTTACCAGCTAAATTATGTGTATAATTTATACACATTAAAGAATGTTTTGTTATAAGCTAAAAAATTGTATATTAAAATATTTATAAATATTTTCATTTTTATATAAATTAAAATATATTCTATGAACTTAATAAATATTTGCACTCACTTTTTGATGATATAGACGATTCATAAATAAAAAGTTAAAAAATGGCATTTTTGATACGATACAATTACGAAGCATTTTTATAATAAACAAAAATATGCGGTTTATAAATATATATATTGTAATGAAAAATATTTTTTTTTTTCTAAACTTTTTCTACTTTATTTTTATTGTTACATATCCATATAAATATTAGTTTTTGTTGTTTTATATTTGAAAATTAATTATTGAATATACATAGTTTTCATAAAAATACTATGCCTTTTGCGTCTATCAGAAGAAAGTTCACGGGACAAGAGGAGCAGGTAGTAAAATAGCCTATGAAATATATGAAACATAGAGTTAAAGATTTAAAGAAAGTATCTGCTAGATCACAGCGTTCTATGGCTAGTGACAATAGCGTAAGAAATACCGAGTTAGTGAGTAGCAAACGATCGATTTGAAAAGGCTACCTTACAACTTACGACATTAAAAGCTTTACATCTTACATCTATATGACTGTGTTTTTGATAGACTCAATACAATTACTTATTTATACATACATATAAAATAAACACACTTGTTTCACACCTCAATCAAATAAAATCATACAGCAATGTGCAACGATGAGCAAAAGAGGAAAGTATCTACTTATTCGTAGGATAGGTTAAAAGGAATAGGTAGTAGGAAATCTAGTAGAAAGAAAGCTGAGGAACTAGGAACATATAAAGGATATAATTAGGAAAGATATAATTATAAAAGTTCATAAATTAATACCCTTAATTAGTTTTTTTTACTAATAAAAATTTGTTCGATCTATGGATACGTGGCGACCTCCAGCGTGATCAGAAGTAACCAATTAGACTTGCACTATTTGTCTAGTCATCTTTCCCTAGAAACATTGTTTTCATCATCAATCAGTGTTTGGATATATTAAGACAATTACAATACATTAAAGTCTGTACTTACGTTTTCAAGCAATATTTTAATTAAATATAAAAATGAATAAAGAAAGAAAAGCTACAGCAGCAAAAACTATAAAGCAAAAGAATAATGAAAGTAAAGCAACAAGTAGCAAGATGATAACAGTAAACCAACAAAAAGCGAAATCAAATAAACTGTGGACTAATAATGATAAAAAAATATTGTTAGAAGGTTTAAAAAAATATGGGGCCGAAGATGTTGAAGCTATATCAAAAATGTTGCCAAACATGTCTTTTGAAGATATTAGATGGAAAATAGCTGAATATTCTGAAATGGCAGAATATTTATATGAACATGAACTAATAAACAACTGGATGAATTGTGGAATGTTTGAACCTGGGGATAGTCTCATCCCAGAAGCATTATTATTTATACATTTATTTGAAAAGCATCCATCTCCTTCAGAAGCAGAAGGTTTTGATTTCAGGTATATATGAATAGTTTTATTTATTGATAATAAGTTATTGACTTTATAACAGTTTATATATAATATTAATAAACTCTGTTTATTGATAATTGTACGTAATTATTGTAGAGCAATATATAATTTTCTTTATCGCTCAAGTCTGGGACCAGTATCATACTTTGATCTATCACCAAAAGATAGAGATTTACTGTGTATTTTGCTATCAAGACTAGAACGCAAGATATGGCCAAAATGTGAGAAAGATATCTGGGAATATGTTGGTAATACTTACAATAAAAGACATATTAAAAAAGTATATCCAGGAAAAAGGGTCCCAGGTCAACTTTTATAATATCATAGTTATAGTTTTTTTATACATTCATGTGTAATGATAATATTTAATAAATATTAATAATGTGGAGGTGCTTAAAGTTTGGATACATTTTCTGCTGTGATAGAAAAAAATTTTCTTTATTTATATATAACATAAGCAAGTACAAATTTTTATCCAATAGAGTAAATTGATTTATTTTATGTGACAGAAATCTATTGTCTTAAAAATGTATTAAAGATTACCTCATGTAAGTTATATATATAGAATAAAATAAATGTTTATTTTAAGAGATGTTATTTTGTATTGTAAATAATTATAACCCAATGTAATAATATACATTCATCTAATACATATCATAATATAAAATAATTGTTTTGTATCTTTTTGAAGAGAAGTTCTTTGTAATATATCTTTTCCATCTATTTTTAGCTCAATGAATGTATAAATTACATAAGAATGATGATATAGTACATTAAACAATATCATATATATTATTTGTGAAAAATATAAATGCATAATAAATGAAAATTAATCGAATAAAGTGAACAACACACAATAACAACACATCTTTGCACCTTAATATGCATTAATCATAAAGCAAAGTTTGAAGTACATTAACTTGCAATGTGTGATATTTATTTACGCTTTCTAAAGCGTACAATGTATACACGCTTGCACGTATACACTAATCGTAAATGATTACTCTTTTATATGTATCTACATATATTCGTAACATTAGAGAGGTAAAATACAGAATAAAAATAATTTCATTTTAATAATTGCTGTTACACTGTTTTATACAAGTTCAAAATCTTTAGGATGGGCAAGATATTTGAAGATTTTGAACTTTGATAAAAATTTCCTAATTAATAAATAATAATTAATTTTTTAATATTTCCCATGCATCATCTTCAAGTTTTGAATCCCAGTTAGATGCATAATGGTCCGTACTAAAGTTGATTAATACTTCGTCTTTATCTTTTGATTTTCTTGCAACTGGTTTAGGATCTGTTATTTGGTTATTTTGTTTTGTCTCATTACTCCAATCCCATTCACAATTGGAAGAATTTGCAGTTGATACATTGGTTCTAAAATAATTTAAAGTACAATTAATTTATGAAATTGCATTGATTATAATCATTTAAATTTAAAATGCTTATGTTTTATAATAGCTTCACTAGAACTACAATTAACTTACTTGGACTGCGATGTTTTCATTAAAGATGTTTTTTCAGTAGAATGATGCTGGGTTATATCACTATTTTGATAAGTAGTGGAAGAACTTTGATAATGTTCCTTTGAGCTATATTGATTCTGTTCAACTGAATTTGTTCCTCCAATATCACCCCATCCTCTTCTCCCTAAATCTCCAACCTATTGAAAGATATTTAGGAAGTTTAATAACTAATTAGTTTATGGATTTATTGTTTAATTACTTAATTGGCTTAAAGGAATTTAATTATTTAAAGAAAAAATAAAAATTTGCTTGTTCTAATACAATATTAATTACAATTACAATAACATATCAACCAAGAATTAAATTATCTAGTTAATAAGTACTATTAATTATCATTTTAATATACAGCTATGTACCTTAGCAGCTATACTATTAGCTTGAGTTCCAACTTCTTCCCAAAAAGTACCATCGCGTACCTAGCACAAGCAAAATAAGACGGAAACAAAAAATTTAACTGAAAGTAATATATATTTCACTATACATAAACATAATACTAAATACAAAATAAATGATCATTATTAACTTTCTTTTGTCACTAAATTATAATTTAATAATTTCTTTTACAATAAGAAACATAAGACAAATACAAATACAAGTATGCATATATCTATATGCAAATGTAAATAAATAGATATAAATACCTTTTGTATGGCTAACTCTCCAGTTCTAATGGCATTTTCTGTAGCTTTACTTGCTATTTTTGATGCTGATGAAGAAAGTATTGACCAGCCCTAGAAAAGTGAATGTTTACTGCAGATTTCATATACACCAACTGTACATGTTAATTATAATTAGTTATCTTAAGCATAATTACACTTGCTAAAGAGGATACTGCACTGTCAAAAAATTCTTGCGATGAACTCCTGGGTGGTGGATTCATTTGATAACCAAACCCTCCATATTTACCACCTTGACTAGGTGGAATATTACTTTAAAAATATTCATTAACTTTTATATTATTTATATTTTATATATATTAATTACTGTATTACATATTTTATTATAGTTATAAAACTAAAAATAATAAAATAAAATAATAATAATAATAATAATATTGATATAAAAAGTAAAACTTACTCTGGACGATTAGCATTTTCATTTTGTTTTCTTGCAAAAAAGGCTTCTGTCTGAGACTTACAACTATTTGAATTAAAATTTTGATAAGAATTTAATGTATCACTTTGATATGAGGAATAATCTTGTTGATTTTCTGAACACATTGAAGATTGAAAATCCTTAGCTGTGGAGGTAGTTGGATTCCAGCTTTCTCCACGTGCCAATGTTGCAATCTAATTATTTATGTAACATAATATTCCATGTTGTTTATTTTTTTAAAAAGACATTAAACATGAGTAAAGTTATGTTTCACATACCATCACATTTACTTAAATAATGTATAGACTAATTTAAATAATTATTTCAAGGATATAAAATTATACATAACATCTAATTATACATAATGTAATTAAGAAAAGTTTGGAAAAGTTTAAGAAAAGAATTGTTCATGCATTATAGTAAAAAGCACAAAATGTTATGATTAAAAGCAATATATTATATTTACCTTATCTCTATATAATGCTGCTGCTTTAGTATTATACTTTTGTGTTATTGACATATTATCGTTCCAATCCGGTTGTGATTCAAAAAATTCACGAGCATTCTTGTTTCCACCAATTCTCATTTTTTCTAACTCTGAGTCTTTCCACTTATCCATGGAAATGGATCTGACAAATGACAAATGAACACCAAGTCCTCTGTGTTTGCCTGAACATTCTAGACAAATCCATATACCATATGTGACAGAAACCCATTGAGGATTGTGAGTTCCACATTCAAAGCATTTCTGCAAAATAATAAAATTCAATTAACATATGGAATATTATGAAGAAAATAAAATTAATGAATTACATTGTTCTCATCTTTTGGCTTAAGCCCACTTAGGATTCTTCGAGTTCGTGGACTAGCCATTATCTCCAATCTCTGAAACTCAAATAAAAAATCGAATCCAATATTTAATTTTTAAATTAAAAGTCCACCATACTATACTTGTCGTTAATCCCTTGACGGTAGTAATCCCAATTTGTCATAGACGAATAAGCGAATAAAAAAACCAATTCCGATATATATCAATTACTTGATATGTATTTTAAATTTTATCATATGAGTAAAATAATAAATATATCATTTATATACAACCAAATTGAACATAATGTCATAAAGTTTATGGAACTGATCATTTCATTGGATATTTCATCTCATATGAGAGGAGAGTACCAACAAAGCAATGGGCAATGACTAAAAATTCAAGTACGCGTGTTTCTAAAATATACCACAACCACTATAGAGCGCTTTATACCAACCACATTCTTTTATATTCAAAAATAATGGTAAAGTGAAATAAAGGTATTTTTATCGACCAAAAAACCGTTTCTGCATCTATTAAATATTATTATTTTTAATTAACGTATATTGTTCATGTTCGTGTAAATCCGGAAAAATGTAGATAGTAAAATGTACAAATTACACAATAACAATCTTATAATTATTTTTTATTTTATTACGAAATATGTAAAATAAATTATAAATTATAACAATTTGGATTATCCCTGCTCCTATAGAAGAAATGATTAAACTTATACACATGAAATGTTATGCAATATATCATCTAGTTTTACCAATCAAATAATGCAACATTTATTTCATGTAAACGACGCTTACTTGTTGAAAGAGCGCATGCGCAACCCCACCCACTGTTCATGACAAATGCAACTTTTACTTCCGGTTGACTTCAGCTTCTGCACAAGGTTTTTTGGGTTTAGCAGTATTCTTGCGTGGTGCTTCTGTTATCCTGCGTCATCCGTAATTTTTCACAGCTGCATTTGCACTTTGCAGTTCTATATCTCCCGGGGATATATTTTGTTTGTCGTATGTCCATCCAGAATCTTAACACATTCGGTAAATATAATATTTTCTATTTTGTAGTACTGATCATATTGTAGAAGATAGTTTTATCAAAATGGCGATGGCGTCTTTTGCTTGCATCATAGTACGCAATTAACATTTCTATCGTTTTCCTTTTGAAAGTTGTTTGTTTCAGATGAAGATTTATCAGTTAAATGAAAAATTTCTTAATATTTAACATAGTATTTGCTTTCTTTTGCAGACCCCTTTGCAGATGCAATCAAGGGTTCAGATGATGATGTCCAAGACGGTCTCGTGCATATAAGGATCCAGCAACGGAATGGTCGTAAGACCTTAACAACAGTACAAGGACTTTCATCTGAATATGACTTGAAGAAAATAGTGAGAGCATGTAAAAAGGTAACAAAACCATATTTACTATATGATTTTCGATAATTCAATCTTTTGTCAGTGTCAGATACCATGCTAAAAATAGAACTGATGCAAACAACTGTCCAGAGTTAATATGTAATTGCATACATCATAAACATGTATCTGTAGTATGTGTGAAATTTTTCTAGAAAATTTATTTAACATTATTTCATTATCGTATTTTTTGTTTAAATTTTTTATACAAAATAAAATATTAGCATATTTTACATATTACATCTGTATTTAATAAATATGATTTTTAAATTCATCTTTTAGTAGCTTTTCGCGCATATTATGTAAAATAACATTTTAATTCACAAAATTAAAAAAATAAATGTTTTACAAACGATTATAAATAATACAAAATTGTTTATATATCTTATTATTTGCATAAAATTAAAGTTTTTAGTAATAGTAATTTAATTATATTTCTCTTATCTTAAATGTCTGCTTGCATGCATGCAATGAAAAGTTTCTATCAAGCTAATTCAGATATTACTTCATAATCTCAAATATAAATTTACGTACTAATAAAATATATAATCAAATTAGAATATTCAATTTAATTTATTAATAAAATTAAATTATTTATTAATAAAAAATAAATATTTGAAATAAAATAAGAAAAGAGGGCAAAATAATATTGTTATTTTTAGGAGTTCGCCTGCAATGGGACAGTAATCGAACACCCGGAGTACGGAGAGGTGTTGCAGCTGCAGGGGGACCAGCGAGAAAATATATGCCAGTGGCTAACAAAGTCAGGTCTGGCCAAACCTGACCAGCTTAAAGTCCATGGTTTTTAACCAACAAACATCCATGCCACTATCTAAGAACACTCCACCTTCATCAACACCTTATCATCTTAAATTATCTGTATCAGTCACTAATACTTGTTGATACATCGTGAGATATCCTATTATATACACATATATATTTCAATAAAAAATATATAACAGTAACGATATAGGCACAATATTCTAATCAGACATTTGTAAGATTGTAGGAAGCAATATTTTACAGCCTTATGTTAGGTGTAATCCACTAAACTCATCACGTTTTAAAGTAGTAGTGATAACTAATTAGTGATTTGAGAAAATACTTATACAAGGAATAGATACAAATAGCAACGGATGGATCTTCTTTTTGGGATTAGGTAGTATGTATCTCGGCGCTATAGACGTGTTCAGAGAGGATAGGAGAGGGAGAGAAATATATATATAAAAAAATTATTTTAGACCCTAGATTGGCTTATTGTGTGTAATGCTGAATGCTTTGTTTTGTTTATACAGTAAGGTAACAGGCCTGGTTTTTACATTGTTGTTTCCAAGTTTTGTGCCTTTAATTCCATATTGATTGTATTATTTATTGAAAGGATCATCTTTAATTGTAATGGATTTATTTTGAGGGAGAATTGCCAATTTTTTTCTTTTTTTGAAACAGTATTGACAACATGAAAGCAATTGTTTTAGATAAGAATGTGGCTGTTCTAAATAAATGGTAATTCACCGCTATTTGGACTTTTTCCTATTTCCTTTCCATGTAATTTTACTGCTAAAACAACTTCGAATCATAAAATGAATATTATTTCATAAAATATACATCTTGAAATTAAGAATGAATATAAGAATTACGTGTTATTTCAGAAATTTCTTTATTAAATTCTTGATAACATTTTAGATAAGATTACATTGATAGAAATTGAATTACAGTCATAATTATATTTAATTAATGTTATCATTATATTAGAAAATGACTTTCTTAATATTTACATTAAGAATTTATCGTATAATACAGAGATTTAAAAATATATTAATAAAAACATATAAAAAATTATATCAATATCATAGATGGGAAATAATTTATACTTGTAGATTGTGTGTACGTATATAATTAGCTCTGGATGCCTATACATGCATGTACAAGTATAGATCTATATATATTTCTTTTTAATTATATGGGCGCGTCAGTGAGTGCAATAGTTTTATACATATTAAATTTAGGTTAAGTTCATATCTGCATATTTAATTAGATATTGGTAATAGAAAATAAGATAATTATAATTATCTAACAAGACAGTTTTTATATAAATCTATAACTTATAAAGTATATTAATATAAAATAATATAGAATTTTTCAAGTGATATAAATGAATAGGACAGTCCTGCAAAATACTTTTAAAGATTTAAATTTACCGGGCTGATGCGAGTCATGGCAATCTAACCACCAGATATCACTATAGTCGAGCTACATACTTACGACCCACAATGCACCGAGCTACGGCATGTGCCTTTCTGTGTCGGCCATTTTGTAGTTTCCTTGAGAAATTGTGTTGAGTTGATTCATCTTCTCGGTAAGAATTTTATAAAATTCTAAAACGGCGCGACTCACATTGATCCAAATGATGTAGAGGATTGAGGGCAGATGCTTATGGCTAACTATTCATAGCTTGAGAACGAGGAATAAGGTTGCGTTTTTTGCGCACAACCGTGTGCGCTCACGGTACTTACACCCGAAGAACGAGCCAGTAAACGAAGCTGCTGAGAACACCTATTGATAAAGGCACATGGAATCTGGGATTGTTTCGGGATGAATGGTGATTTCGGTAACGATATACGATACGCATAAGTGTACTGTCCAAGTGGTTGTCACCATATCTGCGTGCGTGAACGTGTTGGCCCGGCCAACGTCTCGCTCTATATTTGGCTAATCGCATCCAACATATTGCATATCTTGCCTTTTCAAAATTTTTACTTTTCATGCCGTAACCTTTCCCAAAGAACTATATCAGAAGGATACAATGTGACGTTTAAGTGTTAATGCTTGACGATTGCACATTGATACTGAACAAGATCAAATCTTAGCATGTGGCACGGTTTGTACGATCAACATTCAATTTTTACTTTCAACAAAATCAGTGAAAAATTTCTTATTAGAATTATGATTTTAAAACATGCTCCACGGTATTTCTCATTTTACATATAAAATCAAAAAGTAATTGTTCGAAAACAGTTGTTTTACGTGAACATCAAGAAATCTGGAGTCTCTTCTCTATTTTTATATTTATCGTTCCTTTATGGTTCGCCGAGATTTCATGTAAATAAATTTTGTATAATTTGAATTCGTCTATATATGTGCATTTAGATATGCACATACACGCCCGCGCGCGCGCGCGCACGCACACACACATCATACACGCACATACGCGCAGACATGTACACATCATGAACACGACTATGTGCTATTGAACATAAGCACGCGCGCGCGCATCATACGTGGGGCACATGCACATATACACCCATGTCTGTGTATATATGGATTCATGTATGTATGTGTACAAATATATATACATATAGGTACTACAAATGTATTACATCAGACTAGTGTATTATGCATATTACATAGTTTTAATCACATTTATGGAAAGTATTTCTCTCTATAACAAAATAATTTAATAGTTAAAATTTTAATATTACATTTCGCAATTGTATAGTTTAGGAAAATTATTGAAAATCTCATTTAAAATTGTTTTTTTAAGAAATTGCTATAATTATTTAATATGATTGCAAAATGACTTGATATGCACATGCTTAATAATGTAAATAAATACTATATCAGCTAATTTTTCAAGTGTAAAAGATCAAAAGGTCACTTTTCAAGGTTATTGATTTGTTTGCTTGTTTATGAAATATGAATCTAGTATTAATTGGGGTATAAAAATAGTAGAAGATATATTTTTCTGGTATTATTGTATTCATATTACAGTTATTTATCTAATATGATCTGATACAATTTCATTATTAATGTATTAATTGTATTAATGATATATATTTCATTATGGTTGTTGATTGATACAAATCTATTTTTGGTTTCTTAAAATTAAGATATAATTAAAAGTAATGGTCTTTATAAATAAAGTTAAAATCACTAATTAATTAAATTTTATATTCCATGTTATAATATGTAAGTATATCATGTACTGGGCGTTAGTTGTTCTTATAATATATATCAATATGTTATATATTTTTGTTACTAATTACATTTTGTATTTTTCATAGGGTACGTGTACATGAATGGGGACATCGGGAAGCTCCCACCAGGGGCGGTCTATCCAGCCACCCCTGAACCTTTGGGTTCTGTTGGGGGTGCAATTGGAAGTACTGCATCCAATCTGGAATATAACATCATGAATGGAGTTCCAAGTGGAAATGAATTAATATTGGAGGCAGCTGTTGGTAATTTGGAACCTACATTGCAACACGCTATTGGTATAGGGGGTGCAGCAGGTTACGGTCCAGTAGACGTTGCTCCCTTAGGTGATGTGCCAAATCAACCTGCTCCAATGGGTGACATATCTGCCCCTGGTATACCGTTGGAACAACTTAAACAAATGCTCTCTTCACAACTTGAATATTATTTCTCCAGGTAAGCCCTTAATCTCATGAAACTTATTATAACATTGTATAGAATTTTATTGATTACTACTAATTTAGTGACATATTATGATTATGATATGATTTTAGTTTTTTGCAAACTTTTATAAACAATATAGAATTATCACGTATTCTTTATATTATATCTCCCTTTTTATTATGTATATTTATTTTTTATCTGTGTAAAGTATTTTAAAATTTGATCACAATTCAAATTTTAAAATAAAAGAATACAAGAATAAAGAATTAGTAGAGAATAAAAGAACAAAAGAAATAAAGAATAGCATTAGAGGAGACTAATGAGTAATGTTTGATATAGTTATTACTTTTCTTATTTTTTTATTTATTTATTATACAACAATAGTACAAGATATATTATATTTTGTTTTATCATACAACAGTTAATAACATATACAATGAACATCAATTATTATAGAACATTCAACAATATATATATATATATATATATATATATATATATATATATATATATATATATATATATATATATATATATATATATATATATATATATATATATATATATATATATATATATATATATATATATATATATATATATATATATATATATATATATATATATATATATATATATATATATATATATATATATATATATATATATATATATATATATATATATATATATATATATATATATATATATATATATATATATATATATATATATATATATATATATATATATATATATATATATATATATATATATATATATATATATATATATATATATATATATATATATATATATATATATATATATATATATATATATATATATATATATATATATATATATATATATATATATATATATATATATATATATATATATATATATATATATATATATATATATATATATATATATATATATATATATATATATATATATATATATATATCATTTGTATTCAGTAAATATATATTCTATTGTATTTTATTGTCTTTCTAGAGAAAACTTAGCTAATGATACATATTTATTATCACAAATGGATAATGATCAATATGTACCAATATGGACAGTAGCAAATTTCAACCAAGTAAAGAAATTGACAAAAGATATAAAACTTATAACAGAAGTTCTCAGAGAATCTCCAAATGTACAAGTTGATGAAGAGGGGCAGAAAGTAAGACCTAACCACAAACGATGTATTGTAATTCTTCGTGAAATACCAGATAATACGCCATTGGAAGATGTAAAGGTGAAACAGATATACATATTATTTTTTTTGTTATGTATGGAAAGCAGACATTGATATAACATTTGATTAACAGGTGTTTCTTTCTAATCACAGATTATCAGTGAAATAATGTTTTTGATTACAGAATTTATTCTCTGGGGAAGGATGTCCAAGGTTTATATCATGTGAGTTCGCCCATAATAGTTCTTGGTACGTAACTTTTGAATCTGATGAAGATGCTCAAAAGGCCTACAGGTTTTTACGTGAGGAAGTTCGGGAGTTTCAGGTACTATTCAGTAAAGAAATAATTTATTTTTAATTTAATAAAAATTATAAAAGGCATTAAAACATATTACATAATCATACAAAATTGTAGTTATCCACTACTTGTGTCTATATACCTTCATTTTATGTTTCAATAAATTGCAGTATATATTATATAATATATAATTAATAATATAAACCGAATTAAAGAAAAATATTTTCAAGATGTTATTTTAGTTTGGAACGATTAATAATTATAATGATTATTTGCTTATATTAATTGCTTATAAACAAAATACATTAGAAATATATGTAAGTTCTATTCAAAGTTCTTTTGTTTTATAATATTTAATGTTAATATTATTATATATAATGTAGGGAAAGCCAATAATGGCTAGAATCAAAGCTAAACCAATGAATAGGCTACCAATCCCGGCAGTTGCTAGTGTGGGTGGTATTAAAAATGGTTATAGAACAACACCACCACCACCGCCTGTTTATGATCCAAATAGCTATACAGCTGGACAGCAACGCTTCCTTTATACAAATGGTACTACTATGCCACAAACTACAATGCCGCCATATGCCAATCAGGTTCATGTATATGTAAGTAGACAATGTTATATAAAAAGTTCCAAGTTATACAATTAGATATATTTAAAAAATAATTTACTTAATATTTTGAATGTATTGTCATTTGTATTTTAATATTTACATATATTAATATATATATTTCTCTTTTTTTAGTCTTCAATTAAATATTGCTTAATAGTACTTAAGTATTATTAAATATTAAAGTGTTCTTATGTTTAAATGTTTCAAACTGCATTAGGTATTTAGATTTGAATAATTTTGTATACTCTTTGTAGCATCAACCATTTTATCCTCCTGGAATGATGCCTTGGGGACCTGCGAGTCCCGCTTACTTTGATATGTCAGGTGTTTTTATGAATGGTATTACACCACATAACACGTTTAAACCACATAACAGATACAACCCTCGTCACAGGTATTGACATTAATAATTATTTTTAACAACGTAAATGTGATAGTGTTTTAAAAAAATAATTTCTTTACAAGTAATATTTACAAAAAATTACTTTTTATATATATACATATATATATATATGTGATGCAGAAATAAGCAAAGAAATGGATCTGAAAGGCCAGGCTTAATGGATGGTGGTGGTAATATGGTGCCAATGGGACGTACTTCACATCCGCCTATAAGTGGGGCACCAATATCTTTAGGAGCAACAGTTCCGACTTTTACTTCGAGCTTGCCTACGGTGAAGCCAACTTCTTCTTCCTACCAGACCGGCACAAAATTCCATTCCTCACATACAACCGTAGCAACTGGAGAGGCCCATTATAATAGCAGTCATTCGAAAGGATCCCAAGAAAATGATGCGCAAACTCTGGATTCTGGAGTACAATTTCCGCGTCACCGTATGCATCGTAGGACCAAAGACCAAGAGTCATTATCAAAGGCTAATAGTAGCCCTTTACCGTCAATCAGAGAATCTACCCCGGCCAGTAATAATAACACACAATGCAACCGAGGGGTACAATTCGATTTGGAAGCTTCTGCTTTCCCTCCTCTTCCTGGCCTAGATGCTGATCTTGCAAAATCCCATAATGCTTCAGTAGAAACTGTTGGTACAGATTGTACGCAATCGCAGAATAGGCTTTCAGATGTAGTTAAAGGTACTGCAAAATTGAAAAGCGTCAAAGAAAAAGAACCTACAGGAACTTCACAACAATACCATCAACAACCAACAAGTAACAGCAGTAGGTCTGCAAGTCCAGGGTCAAGTGCTGGTGGTCATGCTGGTTTGCTAGAAGCTCCAACTGGTTCTAGCAGTACATCAACAACTACTTCCGTTGCATCTACAAATGTCAGCTCTAATGCTTCTGCTAGCAACAATGACTCCACAGACATCGCTCTCAGCACCATCACTCTCACTCCCCCGTCATCTCCTGATAAGTGAGTGTGCTTTCTTCTTATACACACATATGTACAACGTACATATACAGACACACACATACGTAATTACGTACACAAGTACATTTAACATGCATACATACATACATTTATGTATTTGTATGACACATGTATAAAATACATAATACATATATATGCTTGTATATGTGCATACATAATCTGTGTATGTGCATGTGTGTAATAGAAGATATATTCTTCGTTTATTGTAAAAGCAGGTAGTTGTTTAATTACATTTCTAAAGTATTGCTTATTATAAATTATTGTTAAAGTTCTTCAATTGCTTTTAATGATACATTGCATATATTATGTATATATGTATAGATATACACACAGATATATACATACATATAAACATGCGCGCACATACACACATATACATCAGAATGACTTATATACAGGCAGTCACATAGAGCCTGAAAAGATTGCTAAGCTGTGTTTGATAGTGTTGGCTGCATTATATGCGTGCTATGCTCTGTATGGTGGATGTGTATTAGTGAAAGTTATATAGTCCACCTATATTTTCATATCACCTATATAAGAAGGAAAGGGAAAGTAGCTTTGTTCTTGGTAGTTTGTTACTTTCAGTATAAGTTATATTCTGTTAATATGATACTGTAATAATGTTGAAGTTTCTGCTTATTTACTAATTCATAAATAGAATGGATAAAAGTAGTAAATTAATTACTCTGACAAAATAAGTAAGAATAATAAATACTAAAATATATATTTTATTTTTGGAAACTGACTTTACATTATGTTAATAATAAGTAGTCCATGTATTATATTTTAATTTGTCAATAATTAATAAAAGATACCAAAATATTTTGCAATTATTGTATTTTATTTTTAGTGATGTCTTATGAAATTTCTTAACACAATTACAAAAACAATTGCAGCTAATTGTTTTTTAATTTCCTCAAAAGTAAATTTACCTTTAATGTTATTAGCATATGTCCACACATAACAATTTTGAAATTGTGTAAAAAGTTTGTTTATTGTACTATAATTTTTAAACTTTCCCTTTCTTAATTATGTTATACTCATACATAGAGCAGTAAGGAGTAGGTGTATTTTTCCTGAATTTACCATTATTTTACTCTCTATGGTGGTTAATTTTGTAGATGTGCTCAGTTATACCAATTTGCCATTTATTTCTATTCATTGCCACATTTTTTTCTCCATCGAGTGATAAGTTGTTTAATATTGCTTGGAATGCCTCGCTAGTATGGTTCTTTTTCAAATAAGAGCTGGTGCTCCACTCGATGAAAAAGCAAACTTTAATTTTAAAGCATAAAATGCTCAAAATCGAGGTATTCATTTGATACTAGGTAGTCAGAAGTTTTACCAGTCTTCTATGGTGATTAAATATGACACAATGTTGCAATGCGTATGTATGCAAGAATGTATGCAGTAATCTGTGGTAGCACAATTTATATTTCTTGCCTGTATTATTGCGGCAAATGAACAATACATATGAATTATTATATTATTCAGGGTTCTTTAATACATGAGTTTGTTATTATTTTATTATTATTATTATCATTATTTTATTATTATTATTATTATTATTATTATTATTACTATTATTATTATTATTTTACCACTTTCATCATCTTCATTGATATCATCATTTTCACTATTATCATTATCTGTACCATTATTGATAGCACCATTGTCACTATAAACATCTTTGTTCTTATTACTAATATTATTATTACTGCTACTATTAATACTGCTAATGTAACTTCTAATACTATTATTATTTTTTGCTCTGTGACTATTAAAGTTATAATTATTAATATCAATATCATTTTTAGTAAATCATTTCTTTGGTATCCATCACTATTATCATTTTCTCTATATCTTTTTTCTCTTCCTGTTTTATAATCATAATTCATTATTATGATTATTTTTCTGATATCATAACAATTATCATTGTTATCAATGATTACTGTTGATATTGCTATTAGTCATGTAATATGTATTTTCTGTAGTACTATCTTCTCTATAACTATTATCACTGTTATTATTATTATCATTGTCATTGTTATTGCTATTATCATTACTGCTATTGTTATTAATATTGGTACCACTTCTTTATTTATTATTATTATTATCAAAATTGTCTCTCTTCTCTCTCATGGTGTTTATGATCACTATTATGAAATTACCAGTATCATTACCATTATTATGATGAACATTGTTATTATCATTCATTATTATTACTATTATTATTATTCATTACTACTACTACTGCTACTACTACTATTTCTACTGCTACTGCTACTCTATTACTATTAGTACTACTATTTCTGCTACCATTACTACTACTACTACTACTCCTACAACTACTATTACTATCATTACTCCCATTACTACTACTATTACTATTACAACAACTATTACTACTACTACCGCTACTATTACTACTACTACTCCTACAACTACTACTACTAATACTACTCCTACTACTACTACTACTACTACTACTACTACTACTACTACTACTACTACTACTACTACTACTACTACTACTACTACTACTACTACTACTACTACTACTACTACTACTACTACTACTACTACTACTACTACTACTACTACTACTACTACTACTACTACTACTACTACTACTACTACTACTACTACTACTACTACTACTACTACTACTACTACTACTACTACTACTACTACTACTACTACTACTACTACTACTACTACTACTACTACTACTACTACTACTACTACTACTACTACTACTACTACTACTACTACTACTACTACTACTACTACTACTACTACTACTACTACTACTACTACTACTACTACTACTACTACTACTACTACTACTACTACTACTACTACTACTACTACTACTACTACTACTACTACTACTACTACTACTACTACTACTACTACTACTACTACTACTACTACTACTACTACTACTACTACTACTACTACTACTACTACTACTACTACTACTACTACTACTACTACTACTACTACTACTACTACTACTACTACTACTACTACTACTACTACTACTACTACTACTACTACTACTACTACTACTACTACTACTACTACTACTACTACTACTACTACTACTACTACTACTACTACTACTACTACTACTACTACTACTACTACTACTTATTATTATTATTATTATTATTATTATTATTATTATTATTATTATTATTATTATTATTATTATTATTATTATTATTATTATTATTATTATTATTATTATTATTATTATTATTATTATTATTATTATTATTATTATTATTATTATTATTATTATTATTATTATTATTATTATTATTATTATTATTATTATTATTATTATTATTATTATTATTATTATTATTATTATTATTATTATTATTATTATTATTATTATTATTATTATTATTATTATTATTATTATTATTATTATTATTATCCATTATTATAATATTATGTTATGTTATACTGTATTAGTATATTATATTATATTATATTACAATTATTAATTGTTCATTTTCAAATTATTCTTAAAGACATTTCAATTAAATTCTTAATTTTTAATATAAAGTTAAGCTGTAATATTCGGTACATAAGAATATAATAAAACGCATGGTTCATTATTAATGGATGACTATAGATTCATTGTCAGTGAAAGTAAATAAATGATGTGTATACTGGTTTGTTAAATAAGTGTTGCAATCTTGCAAGACCCATTCCCTTAACTATGTAGTAATAATATTTTTCTTTATTTCCCCCCCTTTGTTTTATTTTTCTTTTTTTTGAATGAAATGTATATAATAGTGGCTGTCTTATATTCGTGCATGATATTTTAAGGTGCACAGTTGTAATTATTTAATATGTATTGAATATGTATCTATTATACTTATATATATGCACGTTCAGGTTTAGTCCTTTATTATTGAAATGCACCGCTGACAGATCTGTAAAGACTGACGATTCAAACATGGTGAATGGAGTGGACGAGGCTGTTTCAAATGCACACACAGTGGAAGATTCTGAACAAGTATCTAGGTGTGAATGTAATATCCCTACTGCCTCACAAAATTCCCAGTCACAAGTGGGAGGAACTTCTACTTTCCCTGTAGTAAGTATATCCTTTTTTTATATATAATTTGTACTCCTCCTTTTACAATATTAACTTTATGTTAATATACTCATATAGTAGCATATTTGAAAGAATAATAATGAAAGCCTAAAAATTATAAAAATGTCTTATTAAAGTTATTTAGAAAAATATTATTTAAATATTTAATTATGTAATGCAACATTGATATATACATATTATATCATAAAAAATCTGGCTATAACTAATGAACATTTTAATGAACGAAATAGATTTTATGGAAAGTACTAGTATTATCTTATTTATTATAAATTTTGTGATAATTTTGATATTAATATAACTTACAAAATGTTTTTGTTATATGGTTACAAACAAGTTATAAGATTTAATAAAAATTAACTTTTAAAGCCACATCATTAATGTTATTAAATATAAATTTTATAAATAAGAATGTTTTTTAATAAATAACTTTTAACATCTTATTAATTGTATTTGCTACATTAATACGTTTTATTACAGGATCTTACAAGACCGAGTTATGCTCAAGTAGCACAACACTGTCGCGAATTACCTTGTACAAAACATAAGACAGATGAAAGGGATGGAAATATGTAAATCAATATGTGAGTAATTATTTTTTTTTATGTTATTAGTTATCTATAATGTTTGTTTACATACACATACCCACAAATTTAATTAAGATTTTAAATAACATGTATAGTTAAAGATGTAGTAAAGGAAGTACCTTTGCAGATACTACCGCAGTGAATTTCAATATTTAGCTGTTATTCTTCATCTGGATTATATGGATTATGTACCACTGCTTTTATCCTATACTGGATATAGTGGGTATGAAGAAAACTTTTTACATTGTACAGTGACTTCGCCTACAATGAATGTGGTATCAATTAACTATCATACAAAAATTGTTTGAAGAAACTCTAATTCGCTGCATATTTAAAAAAAAAAATACGTTTGCTGGCAGGATAATACATTGTGTAGAAGAGTATTGTTAATGCTTTGGTTCTGTGATTTTGGAGGTACATATTTGTTAGCTTGTAAAAATGTTAAACTAAGGTATTAATCTTTTAATTCCTTTCTCCTCTCCCCTTTCATAGCACAGGGCCGTAACTGGGAAATGTTTATCTTTGTGCCAAACCTTGCTATGTGCGTACAGCTTAATGAATGTTCAGAGTGCAACGAAACTTATTCAGTAAATACAGAATTCTGATTAAAAAAACGAAAAAAAGAATGTAACTTTTAAAGCAGATAAATCATAAGGATGCTTAATTTGAAAAAATTAATTTCTGTTTTCTTGTAATTTTCTATATTTCATTTACATTATTTATAAATAAGATCTGCATTTTTCCAGAATATTAATGACAATTATAATAGATGACGTTAAAATATAAATAATTAATGTACAAATGAAATATTTACCGTATCATCTGAGTTTTTGAAAATTTTGGGAAGTATTTGGGAAGTGTTTGAAAATTCAAAATGAAAACGAAACAAGGAAATGCTTTATTGGTGAGATATAAAGTATCTGTGGTCTCACTATCATTGCCTACAGTTATATGTATTAAAGCATTCTAATGAGAAAAACATAAAAACCAATAAAATTTATTAAAGCTATTAAATCTATCGCAAGATCATACTAGTAAAGCTTTATTCTATTGTAATTATTATTAAAAAAATATTAAAACACTTTATAATTATCTCTTAAGTAACGAAATCCGTTTAAACTAGAATTATATGGTTTTGTATACGAACTAAAATTGACACTGGTTTGTTATATTTTCATTATTATGTTTTATACGTGCTTAATAATTAATATTTTTAAAAACAGATTATTATTAATAAAAAAACTTAATCTTTCATATTTATCCAGAATATTATAAAATACTAAAAAATTACTTGTCTTACGATACTGTAACCTTTATATTATAAGACAGAAATATAAATTCGGTATATTTATTGATAAAATTATTAATAGTTTCTAAGACATAATACACGTACAAGCAAATAAAATAATGTAACACAAGAAAATTAAATTAGAACATTAGTATATTTCTCTCTTTCTTCCTCTTTGACTTTAGAAAATATAACATTCCACGTTGCCTCAGGTACATTCTAGTCTCTACTAGAAGCTTTAAAATTTTTATTCCGAGTAAATCAGAAATAATAATAAGTTATCTACTGTTATTAATATTCTGGAAATAATATTAAATAGATTTTAGTTTTGTATTCATCTCAAATGAGAAAAAAATTGTTATGACATGTTTAGGCACCTATTTACGGCACTGACTTTTCTTTTTAATATTACCGTTACATGAGATAACATACAATTTAGAATTATGCTTTGGCAAGTAATATAAGAGTTGTCAGAAACATGGTCTTTGAGCACACGTTTAAGTGCCTCAAAATGTTGTGTATATTACAGGAGCTTGGCTTTAGATGTTATATAATTACATGTACCTATACATTATAGTGAATAACGCATATGATATATTTGTTACTGATATGCGTACAGAAATTGAAATAATGAATATTAAAGGAAAACCAATCTCCTGAACTATAAAACAATTACCAACATGTATAATTATACTTTACATTTATAATACTGCCTTTTAATTTTTTATATCTGAAGTGATTAGTCGCAATGTTGGATATACAGAAAAATTTATTGTCAACTGTAAATGCATCAAGATATTAATTGTTTCAGTTTAAATCGTGGTGCTGTAAACACTTTGCTTTAGTCTCAGTCTTGTAGCACAACTTATATTAATTGTATCTCAATGATACCTTCAACATTTAATATAATTCAGTTGATTACATCAAGAAACAAGTACAGTATATTTAATATACACACATAAATATCTTTTCATTAGTAAATTCACTAATTCGCAGATTAATATTTACGAAGTTATTTTTACTTTTATTTGATGTAAATATGTCATATTGTTTCTTTTTTCGTTTACTTTTTTCTGTTTTCATTTTTATTTTTGTTTTGACAGAGCATGATATAAGTAAGGGAAATATACACTAAATTTGGCTATTTAAAAGAAAAATGAAACTGATTTTGATTGCAAAACATTTTTATTAGTTTTCTTTTAACTTATACCATGTAATATTTCAATATACATGCAGCAGGACATCAATATCAATTTTTAGTTACATCAGTTAATAATAAAGTTTATTTTCTGCAGTTATATAAAAGATAAATCGTTTCATCAACGGTACATCGCGTGCACAGTATTTTTATTCCAAATAAGATTGATATTGTTTAATGTTATATGTATTTTAATATCTTACTATCGAATAAAAATAAAAGAGGAATAATTAATAGTTAAATGGTATAGTAATTCGTCAATTAATTTGCTTAGTTTATATATAATGTATATTAGCGTGAATTTACTGATAAAAAGATTAATATAAATACAAAAGATATACACACTTATATATAAATAAATAAATAAATATATGTATATATACGTATATGTATATATATGTTTATATATGCACATATATATATATATATATATAAAATTGGATAAGCATTAACATTTCTTGATAATGGAGTTTTAGAAAACATAAACAATGTTAAAGTGATTTGTCTTACTTTATGCGTTACCCCGTAAATTATGTATAGCTAATTATGTGTATGCTTTGAATATTCGTTTTAATTATCGCTACGGATTATATGTAAAAAAATTTGAAAGTTGATTCCTCTCTATACATTGTCTTTACTAAATGTATGGAATTTAATGTAAGAAATGCTAAACTGTTGGTATATATTATATACCTGTATAATATAACGTAAGAAATAGACGCACCAATACCTTGGATCGTAATGATCGCTTATTCTGTCAACAATAACAAATTATAGAGTTACGTAAAACAATTATTTTGTAAAGTCAAATGCACAAGGTGGGACATTTTAAGCTTCACATAAGAAGGACTGGTATAGAAAAAGTTTTTATGCTGGCACTGTAATTAAGAAATAAGATATATAATGATTTCAAGTTAATATCGTTTGAATGGTCCAGGGTAAGGGTGGCATATTGGGATAAAATTGTGATTGGAATGTATGGAAAAAAAGTATATTAGAACTCGGTTCTTTTTTTAATAAGCTCGTCACAAAATCGTGGCTGATAAACTTACGTTAACTCATCCATCAGAATAAACTGTGATTAGATTGAAGTCCAACAGAAATACAATGTATAATGTACTCCGTTTCATAGGCTACAGGCCTAGAAAGTCTGATTTTTTAACTATGAAAACTTGTGTATTATAATATGATCTATGACGTTTGTTTATTACTATGTAAAGTGACAAATTTCAAAATTAAACATTAATTACTGTTATTGGTTTTACTTTTACTTTAAAATCTCACATTACGCTACATGTATTTTATTTGTTAAACATTGTATAGATACAGTTTAGATGAAGTATGGCCTAGAGTTATGAATAAGATAGAGGAAACTGAGGTATTCCAGTAAATATGGTGGCAACTACTTCTGCATGTAATTTTATTCAGGGCATAAGGAAACTGCCACTATCTTTGAAACAAGAGACTGACAGTATCTTTACTCAAGATGCAGATTTGATTAAAATTACGTGATCTCTTAAATATTATTTTACAAAAGACAACAAAAGACAATTATTTGTCACAGTACACAAAGCTGAAATTAAACGCTTTGTACATTATAAGGAATCAAATTATATTATATCATTATATATATTTAACATTACTTATTGATTACATAATTGAGATATATCAATCATTATCTTACTATGAACATACTTCAAAATTAAGTGAATAGTAGTTACATGATTTGAAAATTACAAAATATCATACATATTTTGCTGGATGCATAACTGAATGTGAGAAAATTGCAAGAAATAAGTTCGAGTCATTGTTAATATTTGCTGGAAGGCAGGATTTGAAAGTTATTATTTTTACGAAATATGACATCGATGATAGTTAATGATGTACAATCACATTGCGTAATCACATAAAACTTTATTGTCTTCCTTTATTATCTTGTATTAATATTTCTTATATTATATATATTGATAGCAATTAACGTCAATTATATTAGGTTTCCGTTTTCATTATTTAAGATATGTTTGTAGCAGAATATAGAATATAACAACATTTATTTTGTCTAAGAATATAATTCCTGATATGTAAAAATTATATATATATTTTGTAGTATTTATTCATTTTGCATTTAATTGTTTTATGTTGTTTTTACAAGATTCTTTAAAACAGAGGGATTGCAAAATTTCAACGTGACTGTTTAATTAGAATAAGTGAATTGTACTTTTCCTAGAATTTAAGTTTTCATATTGATCAAAATGCGAATAATGGATAAACTTTGACTACCTTAAATGTCTTTATTATCATGTGAAATATAAATAGACTTTATTTACAAGACTTGTACGAGCGGGTTCATGATATATCACTAATAATTAATAAAATGAAGGAACTTTAAGGATTTCAAAATCCACCTCTATATTCTTTTAAAGGGCATACTATACTTTTTTATTTCTAATAAAATAACGGATATTTGACATTAAATAAAAGAGTAAAACGAGTCTTATATTATGGGAAATATTGGAAGTAGTGTTTGTTTGCATCAACATTGGAATTATGAAATTGCAAAACTCATACATTTCATGCAATGAGTCTTCTCTTCATACTTGAGCTGTCTGGGTTGATCGTTATATGTGGGTATTTTCAACCTACAAAAAACCATAGGAGTAGTAAGAAATGTAAATAGTACAGAATAATAAGAAACGTAAATAACAACTGACATTGTTAAATCTGTTTGAGACTTCCTTCCATTAATATTCATGAATCTTTCAGATCGAGAACAATTCATGGAATCACATTGAATCATGGACCATCTCTGTATCCTGAAAATCCAATAACGTTAGAAGATACGAAATAAATATTAATCACTGTTATATGTGTTATAATCAATTAAAAAATTTCAACAAGTATAAGGGCTTCAATAATTCGGCTACTTTAATATTACGTCGATGCAAAGGAACATCATTTCCAATATAAACCTGATATAAAATTCCTTTTATCTCTTTATTTATTCTCGAATGAACTTGTATTAAAGATCCTTAAAGTCGCTTGAATTCGCTATTTTTCTAAGTATAAAAAAGTATAGTGTATACTGTTGAAAAAAGATAGAAGTAACTTCGAAATCTCTAAAAGTCTTTTACTTCAAAAAAAATTAATATTGGTATGTTATGACTCTCTTAATATCATATAATTTTTATAAATAAAGTTTCCTCATACTTCTCAAAATAGAGATAACGTTAAATAACCAAAGTTATTAATCACTGTGTATATTAAAAATAATTATTTACAGATATTAAATTCAGACACGTTCTTGAAGGAAGATACAATTATTTTGTTCTTGAAACAATGATCTAAGAAACAGAAAGTAATTTACATCATATACATTGTGCTGAATATGTTACATTAAAACGTTTCAAGTTGAAGCTTTTAAATAATGCTGCATTTTTTATCGTACATTTGCGACTTCAATGACTTTCTTAATGATTTCGAAGAAAGTATAGAA